CCAAAATGATCAATATCGCACAAATAATCAGTGATCACATGATATTTGACCAATCAATTAGCGTGCGCCTTCATTTTGCCGGGTTACATATAATATTATGGATGTGACAATTAATGACGACAATTAAAGTTTTTACATAAAAAAAAATTTCAAGTCCACAGAATAATAGGATGTGACACTTCGTGAAAAATTACTAACCCTAATCTCCTTAATCTCCTTAAATCCTAATCCCCTTACCCTGAACCAAACTCTAGTTCTAACCTTAATCTAAAGAACCGGCAAAATGAATCCGGCTAATTAATGTTTAATACATAGTGTTTTTTAGATAAACCAATATTTTTTAAAAATACTTTTAATTACCTATTAAATAAAATTTATTTTACATATAAGCATAATACTTTAACTTATAACGTACCCAATCCTCCTATCTTCCATTTTTATTAAGATCCAATTTTTCCCAAAATTTCCAAAATTTTTATTACGCAAGTTTGTTTAATGAAACTTCCTCCTTCTCGTTAAACAAATTGTAACGTCTTAAAGTTAGATGTGAAAAATACTGATATATTTATATTTTTAACAAAGTTTCACAAACTCAAGTATTGGACATGTCTTTTTTTGTGAACCAAATTTGTTAGTATACTCGGTACACAGTATGTACAATATTATATAGGGTCATGCGATAAAACACCATAAAAATATTCTTAGTATATGTGTTTTATTACAGGAAACCATAAATCATATCCATCATCTAAACACATATGTAAACATAAGAAAACTATATCATATATAAAGAAATTGGTAATATCTTATGGTGGATAAGTATTGTATAATAGACGGAAAGGGAAGATACACACAATGCATAATACAAGATTTTGAAAAAGAAACAATTTTTATAGATAATGATGAATAAATAAAGTATTCCAAGTATTATATATATCATATTATAAATAAAAAAATTCTGATTAATAAATTTCTTACTTGCCAAATTTATTCATTTTTTTTGTTGGCCATAATTTGTTAAAGTCAATAAAAAGAAAATCCGTTGAAAAATTGGTAATTAATAAAACACTTGTGCTTTACTGTGGGCGGGAGCCGGGAGGTTCCTATTATTAATGGGTATAATAGAAGACAAAGAATTATAAGAAGACATTTTCGATCTTAGTTGTTTCTTTTTTTAAGAATGTATTTTCGTTTGTATAACGCACATTAAAGAGGAAAAAAAAAAACAACGTGTATATTTAAAGAAGAGAAAAAAAAGATACAAAAAAAAACGATGCATTTATAACATTTTTAAATATTTAGCATTGCACAAACTACGTATAGATTTTATTACTAGTATATAAACGATTATTAAAAATTTTTGTAAAAGAAATAATCTATTGGCGTTTTAGTATTTTGACAACGTGAATGGATGCGTTAAAATTGGCGCATTGTTTAATTGTTTTTTTGTTTTTGCGCCTATAATTTTATTATTATCTAAACTATTAAAAATTTTTGTAAAAGAAATAATCTAACTCTGTTAGCGTTTTAGTATTTTGAAACAGAAGACGTGAATGGACATGTTAAAATCGGGGCATTTCTTAATCTTACTGCATATTCCGAATGATTCAATTAATTCCTCAAAATTTGATTTGTTTTTAAAAGTTCATTTTCAAATTCCAAAAGTTGTGTATATTGATCCAAAAATTCTAAGTCTAAATCATATAAAATTATCATCTATATTTTCTGATTTTAAATTGCGATAGTCTGTTGATTTATGTTCCAAGATTTCCATGAATTATTTCGTCAAAATCAATTTTCCACTTATTTCATCTTTACTATTTTTATAAAATTCTAAACTGAAACTTCTCCTTGTAATTTGGATAGCCGTCTTTTACATGTACGAGTTACTTACTTAGGCTTGAATCAACAGCTCCTAAGTGTTCATTGCGAATGTATTTCGTGAATTCCAGTAAAGCTACAAGAAAACGCTTTTCCAAATTGCAAGAAACTTCAGTTGTTAAGGCAATACGGTGACTAATATTACGACCAAAAGAAAACTATAACTACAAAATCTAAAATGCATATTCAAAAATTCTTCATTGGCATGTTCATATTCATCTAAAATTTTCTCTATCTATATTCTAAAACTAATCCATAAAAATAAATTCTAAAAATAAATATTAAAGATATATCTCTTAATTCTAAAATTTTCACCATCATTACCATCATATTTTTGTTTTGGCTTGGTTAAAATATGTCCCTATTTATGTGACCAAAAATTTTCTAAGTCCAAAAATTCCTGACCAACTTTGGTCAATTAATATTTTAAATTTCCATTTCAAATCTTCAAGATCTGAACTTTTTAACGTCTGACCTCTTTCATCATATATACTGAAACCTAAATTTTCACTTTTCATATCAGATTTCCATAGACATTAATTTCAGAAATTTCCCCCCCTATATCAGCTTCAAAATTTTAATCACCATATCACTTCAAATTTCATCAACATATATCAACTTCAAAATTTCATCTACATCTTGATCTCAAAAATCTCATCGCAAAAATTTTCTAAGTTCATAAATCTGGTCGACATTCCTATACTATTTTGATCGTCTACCCATATTAAAATTTTTGAAATTCTTCGCTCGGATTTTAACTGCGGATCCCCAAGTCCAAAAATTTCAAAAAATAATTCATTTTTTTGATTCTAACTAATATTTTTGACTCTCATAAATTCAAATGAAATTATGTGATATATAAATTCTAATACTATTAATTTACATATCGAACGTGTATTAGAATACTTAATAAAGAGGAGGATTTTTTCAGTAATGAATTAAATTATTGTCTATTTAACAAGAATTTATTTCATAATTTACGAACACCAAGATCATTTCAACTTGGCGCTAATGTTACTAATAAATTGTGAAACGTTATTTTAACGTTTAATCTGATTTTTTTTTGAAAATTGTAGTTGATTCATCTTGTAGCACTTGTTGAACTAACAATAGGATTATTCAAGGTAGAATACAACTTCAATTTATCTAGATCCAATGTCGCAGAATCCAGGATGAACTTTGTGAATAATGATGGTACTTGGCAGCTTTTTATAGATAATAAAAAATCCATTTAATTTAATATAAATCATGCGATACCGTAAAAAATTCAAATTTGATAAATCATTTAGATAATTTCGCAAATAAAACATTACCAGGGCCCGAACAAATATATAACGTAATGCCGCCTGGCATTATCCAAAGAAGAAAGGATCTTCACATCAGATGTTGTTCATAAATTAAGTTGTTAAATTCTGTTTCTTTGATTTGATTGATTAATTCTAGATCATCTTCAGTCTTAGCGTAAAACAATCCATAATTTTATTATCAAACAATCAACTTTAAAAGATTTGCATTAAAGTAAATTTGATCCCATTAATAAATATTTAATATTACGTTTATTATTAGAAACCTTGATATTACTTTCTCATGCGGTAAAATTTTAGTACCCATCTATATATACACATATTTATTGCCAATGTTGTAAATTCGGAATCAAATACATTATTATCGAATTTGATCAAGTCCAAATGCAATGTTATAATATTATCAGTTATCCTCATAAGTTCATGCAGATTTTACATAATTGTTATTTAGATCGGTTATCTCATATTACTATGTATTAGCATAATAATAAAATTATTGGATAGCAACGGGATTTTATTATAAAAATGGCATGATCGGTCCCGTCAATTAAACTATATAATAGTCTAATAACGGCACGTAGTGCCGCATTAGATATCCAAGAATATATAATTATAATTCTGATTTTTCAATAGCCTTTCCAATATTTCTATTATGCGTAATATAATAACATTAATATCTCAATTAAACCATAACCCTAATTCTCTCATAAATTACAATATAGTAGCTCAATAAAGGTGTGTTATATATAGTAACAGATAGTAGCGATATATTATAAAACCTTTATTTCCCCTAATAGTTTTAAGTTTTCTGGTATAAATAATCTTTTTTTACTTATTATTCAATCAAATTATATCGTGTACTAACATCTTCGGATCGAGGGCGCTGATCTGTTTGATCAGTGATTCTTATATAATACATCTTCCAGACCAAAATTTTAAAAATTTTAGCAGAAGAAAAATAATTTTATGTATATACAAGAGTTCGTAAACACTTTTTATCAAGATATTTTCAGATTTTTGGCGAGAAACTTTCGTGGAATATGAGACGAGACATAGACATACTTTTCGAGACAGTGTTGAACGGTGTTTAAACAAACGACGACAAGCAAAAAGATTTTTGACAATATAGCTTGTGAAATAAACATACCGTCGGAGATAATAATGTTATTACTAGAGAGTAGTGTTGAAGTCGCTCATAAAATATATATGGATAATATAAAACGTATAGTATAGGTAAAGAGATATAGCAAATCAGGAAGTATGATCAAATCTAAAGAACGAATTAAAATCGCAATTTATCAACAAGCCGGTGAAACATCTTAAATACACCAAAGCCCTTACGGAGCCAGACACGAATGATTACAACTTCCTAGTCCCGTACTTCACATCTCGTACCCCACGTGAAGATTTGATCTACCGAACTGAAGAAACTTCTAGTAGTATCATAACATCATCTGATGACGTTACGTCGTTACGTCCCCCAAACAACTAATTTATACAGTAAAACCCTTTAATCCTACACCTAACATGTTTATACCCCTAAAATATCGTGTATTATACCACAACAACCGATATACTCCGATGAAGGTGTGAATGGTTTACTTATATGTATCAACTTGAGAAACAACTGTCCCGAGATCGGAAAAACGTAAAATTGAACAAGAACACTTGGAAATTTACCACAAGGAACGTATTGCAAAATAACTAACTGAGAAAGCTGAAGCAGCTTTCCATGGATCAAGTGTGAAGAGACTCTATAGTCGCACTAATCAGAAGAGATTTATAAATAGTGCAACTGACACCTTCCATACGACTATGGTTAAATTCAACAAGCGTGCATCAAAATGCAAAGACGATAATCAATACGAAAAATTGAATAAAGAAATGAAGCAATTTATCAGGAAATTTCCTAACACTTTTGAATCCCTTAACTCATACAAACGAATGGCTTTACCCAAAAACGCATCATTAGAAACCTCTAATGACACGAAAGAAATAGAGGCAAGACCCAACAAGCGAGACTTTGCTCGCAATACTAACCTACACCCATCCCACATCACAGGATCTCCCAAACGTACTCGTCCTCCAGATTTTATCGATGACTCCTTGGAAGCGGGACCTTCGAAATTTTAGATTTTATATATATTAATATATTAGGAGTCAATTTACCCCTTAACAAGTAGTTAAGACTGCATCTTTATAACTAAATTTTTTTTACAATCCAAACAATTTAGAATATTGTGAATAATTCCACCATTGACAGTATTTACAGGTGGCGACCTTTTGGTCGAAAACAAAATACGGATCATTAATTTTATATTTTGATTGTTTTTCTAGCCTTTTCTTTCTAGATAGTTTATATATTTACAAATCCCAAGGCTGTCTCTTATCGGTCGGGATATTAAGGGATGGTGGACTTTTATAGGGTATAAGTGAGGGTTCGTCCTTGGAGGATGAGCGACAATTTGTGTCATTATTCTTTTGACTTTTTTATTGTTTACTCTCCTGCTTTTACATAAAATAAATAAATAACGAATGATAGAGCAGTTAAATCACACCATACGCCGAACAAAGAAAGATAATAATAGTCTAGACGAAAAAAGGGAAAATCCACGAAATCAACTAATAAGAGAAATAAATTGGCCGGTCACGTAGAAAAAAAATAAAAATAATTTTGGTTGATGATCAAAGAAAAGGAGGAAGATGAGATCATCAAAGAACTAACCAAACTAGGAAAGGTTTACCGCGTACAAACAAAGAAGAAAGCAAATATTTTATTTTAAGAGGAAATAAGATATGTCAGACAGTCAGTATGAAATCGGCGAGTATAAAAAGGATGAATTTGATTTCATAATGAAAATAAAGCGGGTTGATAACATAGCCTTCGTCAAAGTTCTTAAAATACCAAAAAATTGGAAGGTATTAATTTATTTAAAGAACGAAAATTCAATGATGAAAAAGATAGAATATGATTTAAAGAAAGGAATCTTATGGAGTTTTCGACAATGCAAGGAACCTATCAAAACTAACGGAGGTAAAGGTAAGGTTAAGAAAGTCAAGGAAACAATAAAGCTAGATAACGCTCTATTGGAACGAAAAGAAGATAAAGATACAACTACGTTGCCGGATTCGAATTCGATGGATATCGCGACTACAGCACGGAGCTGCCGGAAAGACACTAATGAGGAAATGGTTTATAGCCAATAATTCTTATAATAATATGACTAATAATTTGACACTAAATTATATAATTATTTTGTCAATCTGAAACTATATGTTCGAAGGAACAATTATCAGAAGAGTTTGTGATCGACACGATTAATCAAATTCAGACAAGGAATAGAAAGTCATGAAATAAGAAGGTAATGAGAAATTACACAAAGACAACGATTCTACGGAATAGATCGTGAAAATTATAAACAATCAAAGGGAACAATTCCGGTATGAACGTTATGTTGCGCCTCCAACAGTCATGACGAAGAAGCAAGCATTGGAAGAGATCGTGTCGCCAAAAGTAAATGAATTGAAGAAGATATTTGAAGAATGTTGAGAAGAAATGGAATGGAAAGCTATGGAAACGAATGTGTATGAAGAGGTGAGTAATAACCGTGAAACTAAATGGCTAAAATCTCTTGATTGGAACTTGAAACTTAAAGAAAAACTCATTAGTTTAGCGGAATCACATGATGTGATACAACAATTTACGACGTTGAATAATGAGTTTACAAAAGGAGAATAGGGAAATCGATGAAAAAAAAATAAATGATAAAAGAGCGACTAAAAGTGTAATGGATAAGCTATATAAAAAGCGATTGGGAGCGGAAGAGCGTAAGTAATTTAGATTAGATTAACGTAATCCTAGTTGAAGCATGTGTTTCACGTTAAATTTTTCCAACATAAATAAAATAGGTTTAGTAATGTATTAATAGAGTTTTATTTTAGGATTGGTTTATTTAATATACGAACATACACGATATTTAATGGTACTACAACTTCATCGTATGGGATGAAGGTTTTGGTGTTGAGGGAGGTGTTAGGCTTTAGTTTAATTCCAAACTCGGGATGTACTATTTTATACGTTTGTATGTTCTTTATCATATAAATAATAGAGTATTTCGTTTTACCAGAAAAAAAAAAAAAAAATACTAAATTTATAATTGCATTGTTTATACTGTATAAAACCAACAAAATGATATTAAAGTTATATTTTACCCAATTAAATTTATGTTTATGATGAATTTTTCTGTTATACAAAAAATTGACAGTCCTGTATCTTAGTGAAATGTACTGCTAAGTTCTATAATTGCCATTGACACAAAATTTATTGATGTACATAAATTTATCCGAAACTATAAAAAGCTTAATATTTTTATTTTTATTTTTATTTACTAAAAGGAATTCTACGTTTTGAAATAACATAAGTTATAAGTAACAGTGAACAAATAATCCCTTCGTTCTCAAATAATGATACTACTAACTTTAATAAATGGCGAATAGTTAGCAATAAATCCAGGTGTAACCAATGTACTATCATGTATTATCATATACTTTATCAACATTTTCATATTGACAAGACTGACAAAAACCAGATCATTATGACAAAACATAAAGTTTTATGAGTATTTATTTACGATTTTGAATAAATATGACTCAAGAGAGATAAAAAAATAAGTATCTGAGCAAGATATTTAAAATTTGTATATAAATTTGAGTCTGTTCTTTGTCACATTAACAAGTTCAAGTTATTTGTAATTAAAATCATATCAAACTTTTGTCAGTCTGATTCATGTACATATTTAGAGATTATATTGATTTGTGTATGTTTAATAAATGACTTAACTTTGGTCAGTCTAACTCATTTTTAATATTTCATGTGTTAAATTTTTTTCACTTTGATGTCTCAATGTGTCAGTCCAAGTCATACTACCTACAAAGGATTTTTTTTATTTAAGATCCCTCACCATATTGATTTTACCAATATTGGTTTTACCTTCTCTAATGGAACATTGGAACTTAAATTGAATAACCTGTTTCTTATATTTCTGTTATATATATAGAATTTGAATAACCTGTTTCTTATATTTCTGTTATATATATATAGAATAGTAAATTTAGTCTTGTGAGACTATATATTTTTAACTTATATTAATAACTAACAAAATCTTACCTTTCCAACCCTGGGCTAGCCATTTTTTGCATGAATTAAAGAAAAGGTGCGTTTTTTATTTTGCAATGGGTGGGTAACCCCTAAGTTGATCATTGGTTTGGCTCTGGGGAATTACTGGATTTGACAACCTTGGTAACCACCCCAAGTTTCTCGGTTCAGGTGCCCTAACTTTGTCATTGATATAAGTCTGCTAATTCTGGAGGAGGAATTGGCTATGTACCTTCTTTTATCACTAAATAAAATTTTACGCACTACTAATAATTTCTTTCTTATGATAGGTAATCATAGAACATTTATGTTGCTTCAAACATTAATCTTACTGAAACATTAAAGGGAAAAGTTAAAAAGAGTATATTATTTATATCACCTATTTATTAGAACTTGCAATAAAATAAATTCGAATTTTAGAACAAAATAAAGATATCTAATAAAACTCTGGCCAGCATTACATCATAAATTCACTGCTGGTGACCATTCGTAATCTATTTAAATGTTTAACCAGCCATCTTGAATTAGACTATTTATATTAAAAAGAATAATTTGTTTTTTAAGGTTATATAATAAATTTCCCAGCTTAATAACATATAGAACTATTCAAATGCTAATTTTTTATAAATGAAACCAAAATGTTCACTATAAAAGATTTTAAATATATTATATCACAATCAGATCTATATATTTTTTCTCATCACATGTTTTGCTTTTTATAGAGATAAATTTTGGTACAATATAAATAAAGATGATAAAGATGATATTCATATTGATTGCTAAATGTGATCAAGGTTTAAGGTGCCAACAGAGTTAGACAGATTATTTCTTTTTGCAAAAATTTTTAATAATAGTTTATATACTAATAATAAATCATAAACATAAAACAAAAGAATGTCCCATAACTCCCATTTAAGGTTGCTGGAGAAACTAGGGGGTTTTGGCAAGTTGGCGAAATGCTGAAATGGCGAAACTTTGCCGAAACTATATGAAAGTCTTATTAAAAAGTTGGCGAAACTCTGGAGAAAAGCGAAACCTGACGAAACCTATTATAAATGCCAAAACTGCCGAAACCTTGCCGAAACTATAATAAAACTATAGTAAAATTTTGGAAAAACTAATCGTAGAATTTTGGAAAGGTTTAGGCAGGCAACCTTAGTCCCATTTATCGCGTCTATGGCATCATTATACACAATGATAACTGGTTTTGATTACTTATAAATAGCTAGGCTTTCCTTCATGGCCTCATTTTCCTTGTTTAGAGGAGCAACATTTTGACACATCAACTACCCTTCTTATTTGGTAGTTTTTTAAACTAAATGCTAAATGAATCTGACTTAATAATCAATATAGATGGTCATGATATGGAATAGTTGATCGACATACTGTATTCACAGTAACAAAAAATCACATTATCATCATATCTACTGTGTACAGTTGTTAACTCAACTGAAAGCAAGAAATAATAAAGAAGTTATAGAATGGATGCCTTACAATAGATTTAGAAATATTAAATATCTTTCAAAGGTGGATTTAGTACTTTCTATGAAGCTATATTGTTAGATGGGCCTATACAATGGTGGGATAATAAAACCCAAACATGGATAAGGTATTCCGGAATCTTTTTGTATAGTAATGACTATGAAATTGCAAAAGAAAAAGATGTTAAATCACCACTTAACTATAATAAAGATAAGAATCATGGAGCTCGTATTGTATTGAAGAGCTTGAATAATTCATCAAGTATCAATGATGATTTCTTAAACGAAGTAAGTTATTCTTTTAAAAAAAGTACATAATGTTATTGTTTAATTTTTAGTTAAAAAATTATCTACAATGTGTGTCACATTCAAGTTATGGGATTAATTCAGCCGTATGGATATATGGAATAACGCAAGATCCAGAAACATCAAATTATATGATGGTAATGAATTAATGGAAAAAGGAAATCTAAGATCTAATTTAAGAACAAGTTATGATCCATTTGGAAGTTATCATAGTTTAGAGTGTATTGCAAAAGCACTTTTAATTTTACACAAGTGTAATTTAGTTCATGGTGATTTTCATAGTGGAAATGTACTCTAGATGGCTCTAATTACTATTATGATGTTATAAGCGATTTTGGATTAAGTAGACCAGTAAATAAAACTGCTAATACAAATGAAATTTATGGAGTAATTCCTTATATGGCTCCAGAAGTATTGCGTGGGAAGCCATATACAAAAGCTGCTGATATTTATTCTTTTGGAATTATTATGTGGGAATTTACATCTGCTTTCAACAATAGACCTCACGATTTTGACCTTTCCTTAGATATTTGTAAAGGATTGAGACCGAAAATCGTTGAAGACACATTACCTGTATATGCAAGATTAATGAAGAGGTGTTGGGATTCTGATCCTAATAAAACTGATGAATTAGTAGAAATCCTTTCTATTTGGATCTAAAACATGGTCTAAAAATTAAAATATCTATTTTTAGTAAGTCAAAAAAAATTTTAATATCTTTAATTCATTTATTTTTTATTTAATTGTAAAAAAGTATTATCTAATTTTATTTATTTAAACTTTTTAGGTAACGAACCTATTACTAAAAATCATCCATACATTATCTTGTTATACAAGCAGAAAAATCGATTATTCCGCGAAGCTAAATGAAATATTAACACAGGAAGAATTAAGCACTAAAATTGTAGTATACGAAGAAAGAGAATCAAAATTATTAAGTGAAAGTTTAGGTATGTAAAATAAATTTTTATTATTATTTATCATTAATTTTTTTTTTAATTTTTTTTTCGATTTAGAAAACTGTATTATTCCTGATTAAAAATGGGTAAGTTATAATTTTACGTAATTTGTATATATTTTATTTTGAATTTTTTATTAAATAATATTTTTTTTTTTTATAGACCCTGTATAAGATAAGACATAAAATTCGGATAATTTGAAAATTCTTTACTTCGAAAATTTTATTTTTTGACGTCACATTTTCATGTCGTATTCTATAAAACTTATTTATACGTAACGATACGTTTTTTTTTTTGAATAAAATTTTAAAAAGAAAAAAATAATAATAATAATTTTCTTATTATACTTATGTGTTATTACATAGCTGGAACTTGTGAAGATTTTGACATTATGATGTAGTTTAGAATCAAGTTTTATACTTTGTTTTCATATTAAATAAAATAAATATTATTTCTTGTAATGATGATAACATTATGTAATAGCTTCAATCAAATACTTTAATTCTTTAATAGAAAGGCACTATAAGAAATTATAAAAATAAGGTTATATAAATTTTATTAAAATTATACATACTATTAGCATTTTTTAAATGTTGCATTGCTAGTATGATAATAATATATATTTCAGCCTTTAAAAGATCTTTCATACTTTAAGTAACACTAAATTTAATTAATTTAATATTCTGTGGCTATTGTGTGTTTCATCTTTTAAATTAGACATAAAATTATGATGCATAATTATCAGTCGTAAGCTTCATAAATGAATATTATATAGTATAATGAAAAAAAAAAGTCCTTTTTAAGTGATTCCAGTCGAGAAAAAAAAATACTTGTTTAATCAAATATAATTGTAATCACTTATAATTGATTAAATTGTACATGTAAAATGATTCTTAACCAGAAAACAATACTATAACTTTTTTAATAACCCATTCTTTATTGTTGTAGTCAAACAATGTATTGAAACATTGTATTTACTGATTACTTTAAGAAAATCTCGCCCTCTCGAGTTATCAAGGAATTTAAATAGAATGCTGGTTTTATTATTAGAATGGACATGCAATAATTAATTTATTATCTAAAGTTGATACTATTGCTAATATTGGAAAATTATATATATAAGATCTTAACTGTCTAACTTTATCACAATTTGCACTATATCAGAAACTAGATGACTAAAGCTAATAGAACTTTCTGTAATTCAGAAACTCATTCATTATATCAAATGTTATGTTAAAAAATTGCATATGGCAATGATTGAGATTTTGATTAAATCCCATTTGAATTTATAAATGATACGAGATCTATCTGCTATATATTACTAGGAAAAAAGGAGTGGACCAAAAAAAAAGAAGACTGAGAAGTCAAAAAAAAAGAGAGAAGTCCTAACCGAAAAAAAAGAGAAACCCGATGTATGGAAAAGGATAAAAAAATTTAGATTAATCTACTGAAAAATAATTGGTGTTTGTTATTATATATATATATATATATGGATAGACTAGACCATATTTCAGATTACAAAGCTTTTACAAACTTTTATAATTAATAGGGTTCCTATTGTATTGAATTTGCTGAGTAATCATTATTGGGTTTCCCAGGTTATTTGAGAATAAACTAAAATATGTATGGAATCAATATCAGAGATAAATAATTTACTGTGAAAGTTTTTCTTATTTTCACTATTTTTTTTTTTTAAAAAAAAAAAGAATAATATGTAAAAGAAAATAAATCATTTACTATAAAAGTTTATAGCTAAATTAAGATTATAAATGATAAACTAAAAACTAATTTCTTTCTTATCATTATTAAATATATAGAGTTGGAGATGATCACAATAAAGATCATGCCAATCTAATAAATTGTTAAGTGATCCAACAAAAAATGCTTTCAAAAAGCATGGACCTAACTTCTCCGATGTGCAAAAAAAATATTTTTTTGAAACACAAGATTTTATTGACATATTAAATAGTTTTATAATAGTAGAGATTATTTAATTTTATTTGAATGCAAGCTTTTTAAATTAATTTAGAGTTGAATTATCTTTTCTTTTAAAAAAACTATCAATATATAAGTAGCATAAGTATATTTTGAATCTATTTTTTAGAATAATTTAAAAATGCAATTATGTACCACAAATATGTAATGATATATTTATTAATTGAATTTGATATTAACAGGAATTATTACCATAATATTATTTTATTAAATCAACAAGTATATCTAACTAATATCTAATAACATGCAATACAATGTCTAAGTTTGCAGATTATATTAACCTCTTATTTTATATACATATATGATTTTTTGTTCCTAGTATGTGGTAATAAAAGTTTACTAGATGTGCACGTGCGCGGAAGATCTTTTCAACCTGATGTAAATTCTTTTATATTTACATGAAATTTTTGGGTTTATTGTTCTTAAAAAAAGGTGTTTGACTAATAGTTATCTCTTTTTTAATAAATTTATAACACTGTATATATTATATTTATTTGGAATTTCTTTGATCACATATTTAAAAGGTTTCTGCATATTATTCACACTTTTATCTAGTTTTCTATTTATTATCTATATTAAATATATATTTAAGTAAATGCTAGATACTTCAATTCAATAAATATTAATAAATATTACTTTTAAACTATTAATAAATAATTTAAATAATTATTATAATAGTGTACACAATATTTATCCCTGATTCGGCTTTAAATTCTTTATAAAATATAATTAAAGAATTGACAAATGTGAATGAAATAATGATGAAATAATGATGTAAAAAAAGCAAATAAAAGCTAAATGAGAAGGAAAAGATATAAACGAAAATTAGGGGAAAATGTAAAAATATGACTCATATTAACTGAATGCTGACAAAGCTGCGTGTGATTGCAAATCTGTCGCAATCTCAGGAGCATTTCAAGAAATGTTGTTACACAGTTATATTTTAAATTGCCGTCTCCCGATTAAATATATTAAAACAAGTTAATATTTCATATGTTAAAATAATCTTTTAATTGTTTAATTGCTATCATTATAGATATACTGAATAAGTGCCATCAAGTTTACGATATCTAGGATGAAGGGCGCTCTCGGTGGTGATAGGGTGATCGAGCCTGCGCTCTCGATGGTGATAGGGTGATCGAGGCGCTCTCAGTGGTGGTAGCTATATTGGATTCAGATTATGTAATGCAATCACTTAATAATATTATTTATATTAATTAATGTGCTATAGTAATGTAATATTAATTTTTATGCATTTTGCATTATTTTTTTTTTTGTTAAGTTTGCTATTTTAAGTTTTTATAGTTTATAGGTAAGATATGTATGTTATTAAAGCTTACTTTGCCAATTCAATACCATTGCTGGTAATAATATGCAATTGTTCTATTATTTTTGTTATAAATTATAATGTGTCATTTTAAGTGTAATTGTAAAAGTAAAAAACTTATAGAATAATATTTTATTAACCTTATAAAATGATTAATAAAATCATTTATAAATATTATGGGAAAATATTTTTTGGTTTGAAAGAGCATTTATGACAAAATTAATTTTATATATTATAAGAAAATCATATAACTATCAGGAATAATATTAATTATTTATCTAATAGATTATGTGATCTTACTTATACGTAATTAATTATGTAATAGGAAATGGGAATATCCTAATTTATTTTATTATATAATATTTTAATGTGTGACACTTATTTCGGCATTATTTGCCAGATATCTTTACAATATATTTTATATATTTTCATATTTTTGTATGGTAGTACTTCTAAACAGTTGCAAATATTTACTGTAAATAAATAAAAATATAGAGTTAAATGCATAATATATTCTAAATATTTATCTTTTCATGTGAGAAGTATCTCTAGAGATGTATAACTTCTCCAAAATCTTTTTCTGTCTATAATAATATGCTATGTAAATGAATAACTAAATACTATAGTAAAAAATTTTCAATTTTTCAACTATGTTTTAGCCATAAAAACCACTTGAAATTCAATTTTCAATATAAATATATAAATAGTCTTTTTTTTAATGATTTTAAGGATATAAATAACAGAGTAAAAATAATTTATTATATATCGTCAAATTTCTTGCGTCTCCTTTGTATAAGATGTTATTTAAAAAGTTTAGTTATAGTACATTAAGAATCTTAAGAGTAACTAACTATCATGATTTAGTGTATTTCTATAATCTAAAAAAAAATTATAATTATACAATAAATTTCAGTGGTATTATATATTCATTTCTTCGCGTTCTCTACACCCAAATGAATTCTTTTAAAAAAATAATAATTTATTGTGCCTACTTATAAATACGTAAAACACATTATATGATAAATTAAGAAATTAATCATATCTATAAATTCAACTATTATAATCTATTTATAAATAAATTAAATGATTATTACTTTCCATTATTTGATATTAATAAGAACACATCTGATTTGATCCGATAAATCATTGGATAATACATCATCAAATCATTTAAACAATTGATATTATAATAATATCTGAAATTGTACAAGTTTATATTCATTACCTAATTTAAGAACAAATAAGGGGGAAAAAATTTTAAAAATAGCTTTAAAATTTCTCGTCTGCGTTATAAGTATTTTTGTTTTTAATAAGCAATTATAGAATTCCATTTTCATGATAACAATTTATTTAATCAATAAAAGGAATATTTATTACATAAATTTGGATATTAACTATTTATTTCATTATATGGCTGTGAATGGAATCAGCGTAACTAAATATATATCTTAAATCTTGAACCCCTTTTTAAACCATAAGAATTTCATGCAAAGTATCAGCCCAAAATTATCAAATTCTCTCTAATTAGTGCTGAATATAATATCGTGATTGAAAACCGGATAAATAAATCTTTTGGATCCCGAAGTTTAGATCTGCAAAAATGATCATAGTTTAAAATAAGGAAAGATCAACCTTATGCATAATTACCTAAGAATTTTCGTCTTGATTACGCCTTTATGGCTGTAAAAAAAAACGCCCGTTTTTTCATATTTTCATGTATTTTGGGAATAAAAATATAATAATTATTATGAAAATTTCTAATTTGATTAATAAAATTTGTAAGGTTTATAAGGATTATCATTTGCTATATAAATATTACTATTAAATTTCCTTTCTTGTAAACAAAACGATGTTGAGTAACGGTTTAACAAACTTTAAATGGTAATTTGTTCATTAATAGTATAACGTTGTCATTATTTTAAGTATTGTTCAACTTATTCACAACAACTTTTCTTTCTTTCCTTTTTTTTTATTATTATCATTTTAAATAACGTGCGTATATATATATATATATATTATAATGAATATATGCAACGTATGTCAGAATCCTTCTACAACCAGATGTTCAAAATGTCGTCAAATATATTATTGCTCTAGGGAATGTCAAAAAAAAGATTGGAAGGTGCACAAAAAGTTATGTGGAAAAAATGAAGTTCCTATGCCGAGTTTCCCTTCCGGTTCATCCTTACCATCATCATTACCTCAAATGACAGAATTTTTAACTGACATGATGTTCAAAATAGATAAAAATAATCCTTTGGAAAATTGGAATGTACCTGATTTTGGAAAAGAATATGCTACGAAATATCCTCATGAAAATGTTCAGATTGAATTTCTTAACTCTGCCAAATCATCACTAAAGTCTCTTCAAATTGTTGAAAGATTTTTAGATAGTGATCTTGATGAACCTGATCCTAATCACCTTATGAAAAGATGGAATGAATTTTCAAAAGAACTTATTAATTTTCTCTCAGCTCCAAGAAAATTTGGTGATATTTTCACCGGAAAAACAAAGAACCCATATGTTGGAGATAAAGGCAGGGGTGCTCTAAGTTTTAGTAATACGCCAAAACAAAGCTTACTACTTGATCAAGGTAAAACTCACGTTGCTATTGGATTTGTAGATTTGGATTTACTTTTGAGAGCTAGAATTGTACAAAATAAAAATTCTGTGGAGCAACCAAATAAATTCATTGGTTACGAAGGATCCGTTTATGCTGTAGCAAAATCAAATGTTATAAAAGAAATGATGACGAAAAAGGCACCAATTCAGTCAATCATAGAATTTTGGACTTCTAGTGTATGGACAAGAGAAACTTTAAAACACTTTGAGAATGCTGTTAAAATTGTATTACAATATGGAAATGCTCCAAATAATAAACCTCCTAATCCCACAAAAAAGGAACTTCATCCAAAAGTTAGATCATTAATTTCTCATTGGAATGAATCTGTTAGAAACCCAAAATCTCGACAAGAAGCGCATGAACTCTGGGTAAAAACTTTTAATTCGGAAAGTGGTATTTTTTCCGTTGTTGCTAATCTTATTGAATCAAGAGATCGTGTGCAAGTTGCAAGACATATCCTTACTGGAGAATTTCCGCTCATGGACGATCAACAAAAGAATAATTTAATTGCAAGCATTACAATGTTTAATTGTAATGACGGAATTTCTCCACATTCAACAAGTGAATTTATGTCTCAAATGATGCCAATGGACGCTATTTTGCTCAAAAACAAACGTAAAGAAACATCCTTCTTGAATGCAATTTACGATTTCTTTGAGAACTCGATCACAAAAATTTGTACTTGGTTATCACCACCTGCAGAAAATTCTGTATCAATAGAAATTTACCTACATTATCAAACAGTTACTAATGATAATGCCGAGCTATTGGCCTCAATTCGACAATTGGATCCATGGACAATGTCTTGGAGCAATATTTGTGATTACTTTTACGCGCATGATTTTCACAAGTTGCTTCGAGCATGTTCAGGTAATGATACGGTTCATGTGATGACTTCAATGAATTGGATCACGGAAGTCTTTGGTGCACATATTATGGAATATGAAAGCAAATATCGTCGAGAAATTTATGAAAGTGCACAGAAAACTATTTCAATGACTGGAAAGTTTATAGACCCATCAGGATATTTCCGATATGACAAGGTTATCACAAATCCATATAATATCGGGGATGTAGGTGCGGCATCGATGGTGAAAGAAAGTTGGAAAAATTACTTTTTTGAAGGACAAGATTTGAACGTTGGTGAAGTTTCATCCCTAGCATATACTCAGACACATAAGACGCATACGCTCTTAAATATTTGTTATACATTTAATAAGGATATTAATGTTTATACTGAAATTACTTGTTAATTAATTTCTATAGATACTCAACTTCTTGTATTAACTTATATATAAATTGAGTTATAAATTATTAAACCAGAAATCCAGAATGTTTCTAATTCAGTTATTTCATGATTTTCCGAACATAAAACTTGCTCGTTAGTAGCTGCAAGTACCACCTTATAATTATAGTCTTGGTGTTTTATATTTTAAAGGGAAGTAATAGCAAAAAATGTGAAATCCAATTTATTTATATATTGTATCTATTTAAAGTTTTACATAGAAAATTATTTACGATGAATCTTATATATTTTTAGTCCGTTGGAATTTACTTTTTGTCATGAAATTCTTGTATGATCAAAATGGTTTAGTAATAAAGATATTAGAACTGAGCTTTGAGTGCGTTTGTTAAAGTGTGTATGTTGTTCAATTGCTTTACTAGTTTCTTTATCATAAATTTATTAAAGTTCTGTCATAACGATGATAATACAAACTTTAAGAAAATAAATAATGAAATTTAAGCGTTCAAGTCGATCAATTAAACAAATTCAATTTTGCTCAATAGATTTAGTTGTATTGAGGCTGAGCTATTATGCAAATCTTAACATTCTAATCATGAAAATCGTAATTTCATATTGCTTCATCGCTATTTTTTTTTTTTTTATTTATATACAGTATATAATGTACTTGCATATTAGATTATTAGGCCACACAAATTCAATTCTTCGGTTCACGTAACATTGAAATTTAAAATTGACCCGGGGACCCGGGGTTTATTGTTTATTAATAAAAAAAAGTTTATATATAAAATCGTGACATCTGATTGGTTTACTTTTAAAGAGGAGGGTAATTAAAGAATTTATTTTCGTTACAGAAGTTCTCAGCCACGTGATAAACAATAAATCACGTATTAATCACGTGATAATTTTTTTTTATGTGTAAACTTTTTTTTTTGAAATTTGAAAAAGTGACCCGGCCGGGTGAAGTGAACCGAAAAATCGAATTTGTGTGGCCTTAATTTATAAAATAATATTATTGGTTTATGCTTTTTTAAAAATAGATTCAATACATGAACCAAATTAAAGTATAATATAAAATATGCTTTAGCGTTTATTTTCATTCAATTATGAACAATAATAGCAATTTTGAAAATTTTTGGTAAATGTTACAAATATACAAATATTTCCTTTTTTTTATTTATTTCACATGGTCTCCTTTATCCTTACACTGTTGATATTGTACCCTAATTCTGTAAAATAATGATAATATTTTTTCTTTATTTAATCACAAACTACACTTTTATCAACACACCATTTCCCAACCTTTAGATTATTACCACAATATTTGTCATTTCTGATAAATATTTATTAGTCAAACTCATATTTGATGAATTCAAAATAATATAATTTTGACACAACAACGCAATAAAGCCATAGAATACATGAGATTACAAATATATTACATCTACCTAGCCAATCTGGAAGTCTGGTTTGCCTTTGTGAGAGCATCTTGGCTATTCACCAGGATAATACTATGAGACTAAACAAGACAATAGAGAAAAAAAAACAACAATTTCATTCCATATACCTCACCAAATCCTCATAAAATATCATTAATGATTTTCAGGCATTAAAAAGAGGATATAAAAATTTTAAAGGATTATTGATGAGAATCCTCCCCATTTCTTAATAATTATGACATCCAATTTATGAGAATCTTTCTATTGAATTTTTGGAAAATACTAGTAATAATAAATTTCAAATGAAAACAAAGTTGAATGAAAAGTATTAAAAAAATCTCTAACTGAAATTATATTATTAATATCTATAAAGTTATTTAAAGAAACAAAGAGGTAAAACATACAACAAGCAAAAATCAAAAATATTGAAACATATAATACAATAAAAAATATTAAGTATTGGCAGTCAAGCTTGTATACTATAAAGTTCATTATTATTTATATTTATATTCAAAAGTCTTGTTACTAGTATTATTATCTCCATTTTCTCCCATTTCAAAATACTTTTTTTCTCACAAATAAATCAATTACTCTCAATCACCCAATTCTTCCAATTACTTGATTTTTTCCTGTTCATAATAATATTTTTTTTTATTCATAATTATATTTTTTTTTTATTCGTATAATCTTATTTATCTAAAGAAAAATAATGATAATAATAATTTTATTCTACTAAAGTGCACATATTTTTGTATTATATTTTTAAATCCATTTATTTTAATAATTTAAGATAATTTTCCAGAATTTATCCATCACATAAATCATACTCAATTAAGTGCCATAATCGACCAACTATCTTCTAAAAATTAATTCCAAATAATTCACCTAGGAAAAAAATATTGATATAAGAAATTAATATCACATTAATTAAGTAGAATGACTAAAGTTGCCTATATCTTATTATGTTGGTGTAACTCTCCTCTTCATTTACCTTTCCTCGTCATCGTAACTCATTCATCTACCTCTCTTCGCCATCATCGGTACATTTATTTTCAAAATATTTTACACAGAGCTTTTGTATGAAGCTTGCTGACTAATATCATCATTTTTGGGGTTGACTTCAATTTATATGGTATGAAATGGCAAAATGGTATTTATGTTGCTTTCAATAAGATGATGCTGGTACTATCAAGCAAAGACATATCTTGTGTGTTCATAGTGATTATTCCTTTACTATTGTAGGAATAAATTGAATATGCAATTAATTCTCCATAGGCTAAATTGAAATATACAAAAAATATTGTAAAATCATTAAAGTATGAAAATGTTAAAGGTAAATTATAATAGGATAGTCTAGAATTATACATCAGCAATGATTTTCATATCAGAAAAAAAAAATTATCATTTAAACTGCATCTTTTAAATGAAATTATTAAATACTATCAAAAAAAAAAAAAAATTATCAAATTATCAAGCACATTATTAAAAAAAATTACCAAATGGACTATATCAAAAAAGTATCAGATACACTTTATCAATTTTTTTTTTTACATTATCAAATACATTTTAATCAATTATTTTAAACTAAAAATTTGATTTACTATGTAGTATGTGTAATATAAAATTAGTAGATTCAGGTCTTAATAAACTTGTGATAATAAAAAACTATCCAAGCGACTTTATATTCTAAACTATTATTATTTATCATTTATTAATTCTATCAATTCATTGTTTATTTCAGAAGGATTTGATTAATTGTAATTTTTAAATAGTTTATTTATTGTCATATACAATGTATTGGATAAAATAAATCATCATTCCTTTTCCAATTATTATAAATACTAAATTAATAGGCGTCATGTTTATTCTTGGCTAAGGGTTTAAGTTCATATCTTTTTTGACATTTTATTAAGCAGGATTTTTCAAGACGTGCTATCTTACAACTTTTATATAAATGCATTTTTAATTAAGATGGCGTAAAAACAAGTTCGATATTTTTGATAATCGATACAAACCCGTCCGTCAGAATTTGTGTAACCTGGAAGAAAGTAGATTACTGCGTAGAGCATCATGTGTTATCGTGATCAATAATCGGCGCTAAAACCTTATTTTCTTTAGCCGATTTAATTATACAAAATCGGCTAGCTAAATAAGTGACTATCCGTAAAACTATAAATTGACGATAGAAAACATTCATCAACGATTTTACTTCGAAATTTTAACAAACTGCGTACATTCTAAGGTAATAAATTAATAGATTTTTCGTTCAATTTTTGATAAATATTTAAATTTTTTTTTTTTTTGATGTTAATTTGTTCAGTGGATATTATATTATAATTTGAAATATATATCAAGTAAATATTTAAGGTAAATTATTTGACGTTAATACAATTACTTAAATCATTTATTTATCAATAATTTATTAATTAATATTTCGTTAACTATCATTTGTCATTATTATTATTATATAAATGAATTATTACAAAAGGATATATTGGTTTCTTATTTAATTGGTAAATATTTAAAATTATGACAAAATATTATTTATTATACTGTCGAGTTTTTATTAACTCCTCTTTAATATCTATTTAGTTACAATATTAAAATGTTGCGTTCATTAAATCGAATTCAGTTCAATAAATTATTATTTACAAAAGTTTTTAATCATTCAAACTTATTTCGATGGCATTCAACGTCACCTATTTGTAATTATGGTTTATGTTTAGATGTCGATGGTGTTTTGGTCAGGGTCCGTAGTCTGTACTAATATTCTTTTTGATTTTTTTTTTTTACTTAATATTATGATTAATATAAATTTATTTTTGGTAATTAATTGAATTTTAAAGGGTAGTAAGGCAATTCCTGAAACGAGAACTGCGTTAAAGCTTTTAAATGGTGAGAATAAAGCTAAAAAGTGAGTTATGATGCTTTCTGGTTTTTTCTTTATTCAACTTTATTATAAATAATTCTAAACGAATCCTTTTGAAATTTTTTTTATTTTTGAAAATTTTCATCCATAGAAAAATTCCTTTTATCTTATTAACAAATGGTGGAGGAATTACCGAAAAGGAAAAAGCTATTGAACTTTCTAAAATACTTGATTTTAATGTAAGTTACAATAACAATGCGTTTCTTTCTTTTTAAAGTACTTGATTTTAATGTAAGTTACAAAATAAAAAATTATTATGATTAATTTTTTTTAGTTATCAGAAGATCAAGTCATATTGTCACATTCACCTATGAGATCTTTGGTTCCCACGTACCAAAATTCTCAAATTTTAGTATTAGGCGGTGCTGGTGATAATTGTAGAAAGGTTGCTGAGAGGTTTGTTATTTATAAAATTTTTTAATCGTCAAGTATATTCAAAATTAAATTGTTTTAACATTTGCTTTTAGTTATGGATTTAATCGAGTTGTGATACCAAACGATATTGTAGCGTGGGATCAAAGTATTTGGCCATTTACAAAATTAAGTCAAGAAGATTTAAAATTGATAAAGGTAAGCTAAATTTATTTTTAAATTATATACAATTTAATTAAATTAAATTTATACGTAACATATATTATCAATAGAAAATCGATTTTTCAAAAGAACCAATAAAAGCAATTATGATGTTTCATGATAGCCGTGATTGTATGCTTTTTTTTTATTCAATCTATTCTGAATTAAAAGTTCATGATTAAATGAATTATTAATTAATTATTCTTTTATTTAGGGGGACGAGATTTACAAATAACATTGGACGTATTAAGAAGTAAAGATGGATATGTTGGAAAATTAGAAAATAATGATGTGGCAAATTTAACTAATATTCCACTATATTTCTCAAATCCTGATATTGTAAGAATTTGTTCCAAAATTTTTTTTTATAAAGAAAAAAAAAATTATAGTAATTATAATTAATTATAAACTTGAATTCACTTGTTTTTATATTTATAGATTTGGTCAAATGACTTTCCAATTTCTAGATATGCTCAAGGATCATTTAGGATATGTTTAGATTTTTTAGCCGAGGTAATAAAATTTAATTTTTAAATTATTATTTTTTTTTATTAATTCTTTTTAATTTACGCTTAATATTTTGATTAGGTTATAACGGGTCACAAGCTTAAATATAAATTGTTTGGAAAACCAGAGCCTGTAACTTATTTGTATGCAGCTGAAAAATTAAGAAAATTTGCCATGAAATTTACTGATGAGAATGTTCCTAACAGGAGAATTTACGGTAAATTTTACATTTGATGAATTTGATGATTTAATTACGTTTTATTAAATAAAATATTTACTGTATCTAATATAATTATTTTTTTTTATAGCTGTTGGAGATAATCCTGCTTCAGGTACATTTTTTTTTTTATTTTTTCAGATTATCATCAACTCATAATAATAATATTTTTTTTTTTTTAATAATTATAGATATTGCAGGAGCAAATAGAGCAGGATGGACATCAATATTAGTTAGAACAGGAGTATTTTCAGGAAAAGTGAATGATCCAATAAATCCTGCTAACCACGTTGTTGATAATATATTACATGCAGTTGAGTGGATATTTTCCAAAGAAGAAGGGATTTAAAAAAATTGGATATCGGTGATCAGTTGTATTAGAAAATTATTATTTTTTTAAAAAAAAATGATTTTAATGATAATGATAATTTATTAAGTTAATAAATTTTTTTGATAGATTTTTTTTTATTTAATTAACTTAAATAAAGTATTAGTAGATATCTAGGCACTATAGACAAGTGCATTTTCAACATTTACAATTTAAAGAAATCATTATATATACGTATAATAATAAAAAGTCATTAAATTTGTTAATGAGACTAATGATACGCAAACATTCTTTCTCTTATCTTACATTGAAATCTTTGATAAATCGTTTATAACAAGTCCGACATTATTATTCAGAAATATTTTTTTTTTACCTTTAAACTCAAATAATTAGCAGATTGCTTGAATCTGTACAAAATACGTCTCTTATACACATCTAGATGTGTATAAGAGACAGGTACAAAATACTGCAGAATTTTTTTCAAGTTATCTTTACTGTGTAATTTGCGTATATATTGTAATATTTATCTTTTCAAATTACCAAAGAATGAGCGAAGAATATTCATCTTTTTAATTCTTTGCCGGAATGGGTTTTTTTCATGTAATGATATAAAGAAATATGTATGTACTGCTATATAATAAATTGTTATATATTGTTATAACTATAAATTAATAAATTCATATACAGATGAAAGTAGATGAAGTTGATCTGATCGGAGGCTGATAATTCTCAAGTCAAAAATTAAATGGGTTGCTTAACGTTACTTATTATAATAGACTATATAACAGATTATTCCCATTTCCCAACGTGTTTAATTAATGTAATATATTTTTCTTAAAACATATGTCACATAGTAATAAATACGAATAAAGTTGATCTTTAAATTTGATGGATCATCGATCATTGATCGATCATTGATCGATCAGACTTGTCTTTCGAATTGAATAGTCGATTAAGATAGTAGGTAAAATAATTTAAAATAATTGCAACCGTTTTTGCCACAAGTAATGCGAATGAAATCATAAAATTATAGATTATTCTTCATTACTTTTTTCTATGATTGTTTATGATTTTAAGTGTTTGAGCGATCTTATCGAACTAATTGAAATTATCACTTTCTCCTGAAATTGACGTTGGTTTTATCCATATACTCTTCCGCTTTTGGAAGGCTACGATCACGAAATTATTGAATTTTCTAATATAATAAATGAATAAATATATACAGTACTCACGCTCGTTTTATCATCATTGAAGGGGATCATGTCAAGATCTTGGCACGAGCCCAGATTTTTTTTGAGCCCAGATTTTTTTTTTCATAATTTAATAAATTACTAATATGTAATTTTTTTTGATTCATTAGACAGTTAAATTTCGCGTGGTAAATTACAATATAAAAATATTAATTTTTATTATTACGTATTAAATTTGAAATTTTCACTTATGTAAAAGTAAATGTCACCATATATATATATATATATATATCATAAATTAAAATTTCATATATACGGAATGGAGGAAATATATATATATACAAAAAAAATTAACATTTAATTAAATAAATTAATTTTCGATTATTTGAATCAGTAATCATACAATTTTCTAAATTGAAAAAAAAAAAGAAATATTAATAAAAATTTTGAAATTTGAAAAAGAAAATTACGATTGTTATAATATTGATACAATAGTTTTTTTTTTTACCTAAACTTTCGCTTAATGATGATGTTTCATTTTTTTTAAAATTCTCTTTCTTCATCTATTATAAATTTAATGCTTAATTCTTCTTGATTTAAAATTTCATTTAATTTCGCAGAATAATCAATTTTTCTACTTGTATCACAAGATAATGGATGATTTTTAGTAATAGGTTCATTGCTTAAAAGATTAAATAAATTAATTAAATAAAAATAAACTTTATACAATTAAAGACATTGACATTGACTTACTAGGAACAGGTATTCTATCATGCGAAGTAGTTGTCGGTACCAAAAAGAAAAAATTTGATATAATTCATCAGCTGTTGGTCTTTTATCAGGATCAGAATCCCGACATCTCGTCATTAATCTTGAATAAACTGGTAATGTACCTTTAACAATTTCTGGTATCAAACCTTTACAAATATCTAAAGAAAGATTAAAATCATGAGATCTATCGTTGAAAGCAGGAATACCAGAAGTAAATTCCCACATAATAATTCCAAAAGAATAAATATCAGCTGCTTTAGTATATGGTTTCCCACGTAATACCTCTGGTGCCATATAAGGGATTACTCCATAAATTTCATTTGAATTAACAATTTTCTTCACCGGTCTACTTAAACCAAAATCACTTATATAAGAATCAGCATAATCTAAAAGTATATGAATATCACCATGAACTCAATTACGCTTGTGTAAAGTTAAAAGCACTCTTGCGATACTCGTTAAATTTAAATATTTTTCAAAAGGATTATATTTTTTTAGATCTTAGATTTCCACCATCCATTAATTCCATTACCATCATATAATTGGATGTTTTTGGATCTTGGGTTATTCCAAATATGCTTACAACTGATTAAGGATAGTCTGAGCTCATACATTGAAAAAAATAAAATATGAATAGTAATATTTAATGATTTCTGTACGTATTTTTTTTAAAAATAACTTACCTCATTTAAGAAGTCATCAATATATTTATTTCCACTAGTCCATTTATCAAAATTATGACGAAATCTTTTGCTATTGCAAATTTTTGCACCAGTTATAATCGGTTTTTATCCGTTTACAATCAGTACAATAGTTCATATTAAAGAAATACTTAAAATTACGGAGAATAAATTATTTTTCTAACGAATGAATTTTTAATCAACATATATATTAAGTAATTTTTGTGCTACGTTAACATGAGATTTACAATACGGAAGCGCTCCGTAAATAAGCGACCGCAAATTTTTTACATAAAAAAAATTTATTTAAAAAAAAAAAAATTACGGGTAATTACTCATCTAATAAAATGTCTCTCCCGTCAAATTATTTAAGTTAATCCATCAACAATTAAACAATGTTTAAAAATTTCAGTTTCTATGTATCATTCCAAAAAATGATTAGATTTATTAAAATGTCCGTTCCATGAATAAATTAAATAATACATGAACCGAAAACTCATTATAACCATTATTAAACATAACTGTATACCAATTAAAAACAATAAATTCCAATAATCTAAACTAATGATTTTTTGATTATATTGATTGTAATAACGAGGTTGTAATTGTTCATTTTTTTCTTCTATTTCCATTATTTGATTTTTATAAAATACTAAACATTTCGGTATTATTTTGTCTAATAATTCGCTAGAAAATATTACAATCTTCCAATTAAAATTATCGTTCTCCCTACCCCAATTCATATCACCCTTTAAATTCTCATGTTTTACATTCTCAACTTCTATTTTTTTCATGTCATCAAAAATTACAAATCTAACGATTGGAACACACATCAACGCCACCCAAGTCCAATTGCTTTTTAGTACATGAATAACTTTACACATTTCTGCGTGCGTCTTAAATGAGGTTAAATCCACTTCAGCCACTATAATATTATTCGAAACTCCTTTATTAGTAAGTTCACAACATTTCAAAAGAGGTGGTTGCGTAAGTCGATGATATTTATTTATGTATGATATGAATCGTGTTAGAAATTTTCTGTGTAATTTCATTAAAAAGATTATAAAAACAAGCGACAAATATATTGTCATCCAAAATATAAACCTAATAAAAAGAAAAAAAAAAAATACAACTTATTTTAAAAATGAAATATTATGTAAAACGAACCAGAATGAAAATACTTGCCTTAGTAGGTAAATAGGGAATTTTACAGAAAGTAAAGCCCCAATGAATTCTTTAATAAATTCTTTAATAAAAAAATCGATAAAATTATAAACTGCATTATGTATAATCCGGTACATTTTTATTATTATTACTTTTTTTTTTAATTAATTATTTTTTAAGAACATAACTATAATTTTTTTTTTTTTTTTTTTAAAAAAAAAAAAAATATATAGCTATCCAAGTTAGTCTATTTATTGTATTCAAAGAATTATTACCTGCTAAATTAATTGGTTATTTAATTTTAGTATTGTTATAATGATAAATTAATGACATCATTTCAAATGGATTCCCATTCGAAATGCCCTGGGCGTGATCGTAATTGACAATGATTGACATTTGATGTATGTTGCATTTGCACAGATCCGATTTAGGAAAAAAACTATAATATTATCTTTGCGTCACTATAAATAATTGTGAATTAATACCGCAGTAAAGTTTGTCCGTCATTGATTGACGATGTGAGAACGTAAACATTATTTCCCTTGTATAAGTTAGGTTAATATTTATGGAACACATGATCAGATATGTTGACATAACGATAAATATTACTTACAATGCATAAAAAAAAATCATTTATACTTTTCATAAGCAAGCGTTATAATGTATAAGAAATGATGTACAGTACATTCTCTTTCAAATGAAAGGATTTTTTACGCGGAATACTACAATATAAATAATAGTACAAATACATAAACAATTAAAAATTTATCATTGAATCATTGAAAAGTAATATAACTTTTTTAGTTATTTATATCCTGTATTATTAATAATATACTATATATATCATAAGTAAACATGTGGCTCGCTGCACAAACCGTTACTCATTTCTATATTTATTTTATTCATCCTCATGTCAAATTTTTAATATTCCAAAATTACTATTAAATGTAAAATATAATTTTTCAAATTTACTCAAGTTATCAATAGATTATTTACAAGTATTGACTGTGCGATTTTATGATTACCAATTGTGATTACCAATTGTGATTATCAATTTTTGTCTTTTTTCCCTGAAAATAACCCTACAATCTAAATCTGGTAATTTTTATAAGGTAATTTGCATGGGTAACATAATTCTATAACTTTGTAAATGGAAGAATACTCTAAATTGTCCGTTTTATCTTGGAATTGTAATTACTTGTCGTACCGAAAAAAAAATAAATATTAATTTTTATTAAGAAAATTAATTTTTAATAATTAATATGTGAGAAATTTTACATTTTACCAGTAATCGCAATATTTTTATTATGATTTCACTAATTTAGTCTTTAATCATTTTTACAGTCAGGGATAAATAAAGTTATTACCCAATGATTTGTTAAAATTACCTTAATATTATTGCAAATCATGTGATAATTCAAACTCGATAAGTTTATCACAATGTATTATAGTTAATGCCAAAGTTTTTTTAATACAAGTATTTATGATGAAGATCGTCAAAACATATTCTCTATGGAACATTTCGGACCTCGGAGCACTTGTGTAATTCTATCTTTACTATGAATTCTGTAAAATCGTTCCGTTAACGTAATCCGTTAACGTAATACAAGATAGCCTAATAGCCTATCATTCCTAAATCCTCCATTGGAGATAATAATTTTAGTAATTTTTCAAGCATGAATTACAAAATTATTACAAATTATCTTGATTGTGATCGACCGGAATATGATTTGTCTTGGTGACAAAATTGCAATAATAGCAAAACATTTCAACATGATTTTGATAAATGGACTAGTGAAAATAAGTACATTGGCAGGTTCATTCAAGAAACTCAACTAAGCAAGAGATGGTAATGAAGTTATTGTATAGGTTCATCTTGATAGACTAAGAAATATTAAATATTTTACTACAGTACTATTATAGAGCTTTTGGTTAGATGGATATATAACTAGCTGGAATGATAACGCACGCACAAACATGGAATAGGTATACAAAATTCCTTAGTAATGACTATGAAATTGCAAAAGAAAAAATGTTAAAATTTTGGTTAAGCAGATCAGTAAATAAAACCATTAATTCAAAAGAAATTTATGGAATAATTCCTTATATGGCTCCAGAAGTATTTCAGAAGTATTGCGTGAAAACCATAATTATACAAAAGCTGCCGATATTTATTCTTTTGTAATTATTATGTGGGAATTTACATCTGGTATTTCTGCTCCTGCTTTTAACGATAGATCCCATGATTTTATTCTTTCTTTAGATATTTGTAAAGGATCGAGACCAAAAATTATTGAAAGCACTTTACCAGTATATGAGATGTTGCCTAATAAAAGACCAACAGTCGATGTATTATTTCTTGTTGGTATGATTATTATCCAAAATATGGCCCTCTTGATTGAATTTTCTTATATAACGAATTTTATATAACGAAGATATCTTGTGTGAAAACGTCTTTACATAAAACACGAAAAAATAGAAAAATTACATTATTTTTTAAATTTGCAAAATACTTAGAGCGTAATTTCACCATTTTAGTCAAAGGTAACTGCTTTTTATTGCTTAAGTGAAGTTATCTTGTCCATAATATAAGCATTATACAATTTACCAATTTACTGCAATATACCAAAATTTCCAAGTTATACCAGATTTTAATATCATGTTAACGAATTTTCTTCTAACGAAGGAAACGGAAATTGACATCGAAAATGTCCATAAAATGTCCATGTGTCCGGAAAATGTCTGGAAAATTGCGATATTCCGGGACACCTGGACATTTTCTGGACATTTTCCAGAAATTTACAATATCTCGGCGTCCGGAATATTGCAATTTTCCAGACATTTTCCACAATTTTCGCAATACTTCACATGATTGTATACCCACAACTTTCTGTATCAACCAAATGAGATATACCAGGGCTCTCTATGCGCAAGGATAGCCTTCGGTGCTGTTCCTGAAAAGAAAGGCTGAACAAAGATAGTTGAGCGTGGGCCAATCACGTACTTCGAATTATAGTAGGTCGTATTATGGAAGAGTTGTTTGATATATCCAATTTATCCCAGGAATCAATTTCCTGAAATTTATCAATATGAATAAATAGAAAGAGCTGTTGTTCATTCAGAGATCTTCAGGAATTCACGGATATATATTAGGACAATATCAACATTAAAAGATCAATGTCACACCCAGAAGTTTCAATTTTAAGACAGAATTTTCTAAACTTTATGACATATTCTTTTTCAATAAAAAACGCGTATGCAATGCGCAAGCCAATAATCACCATTGTATTTATGTGGCTATTTCCGAAATCCATATATAGATATTTAAAATGTATATTATTCCATACTCGAAAAGTTTTCAAACTTTTATCATCGGATTTATCAAAAAGATCTCGGCCAAACTGATTCAATTCTGGTATAACGTAATCAAAAAGAGATTTGCCTATTCCCGATTTCAGATACAGGTGAGCAATTAATACAGATCATTTAGAAAAAGTGCAAGAAGGAAATGAGGGCTCCTCCACTGATGAGACACGAGTAATTTGATTTGTCTAGCCGGCCCACAATATTACCATATACTGATTCATGAATCCTTTCCACTGCACTTTTGAAGTCACGCATGTCTAATTTATCAGACAATTTAGGATCACGCTTTCCCAGACCTTTTGTAATATTCTTAATAACTTCTTCGACTGAAAGAGAGATAATATATTTATATTAAAATCGGTATTTGAATAAGCCCAAGCAATAACAATTTTGTGCGCGCTTACGGTTCAAATCGCGATCTTTTGAAAAAATTGACAGAGAAATGTGATGTAAACAATACAATCGATTTTGTTCGAGAAGTAAACCGTTGGGAGACACTTACCAGCAGCGGTAGGTACAAGTACGATGATGTGAATGCTAGTCGTTATAGGAATAACTGAAAAATAATTCTCAAGCATGCGGTCAAGGCTCAACTTCACGTCACCAAGCTTATCTTCAATATCTACAATGTTATTAACACTAAGTTGGTATTCTTCACTTTCAGCGATGTCAAGTTGTCAACCTTCCAAAGGCTAATAATGTCAGGATGATTCCTAACATTTCTTTTTTCTCATTCCATATAAGGAATTTAAGCTCTGAAATCCTTATTTGATTAGTATCATTGACTCTAACCGCAAAAGTATCACCAAAAGAAGTCTTTCCTAGGTTTAACGAAATGTCCATTTCGGGGATAATTCTATAAAAAAAATACTTTATAATTTTGTAAAAAAGTATTTTTTTTTTTAAAGAGAGAAGTCTTGAGATATATAAAAACCTTTTTGAACTCATCGACTCATCGTGGCTAATACTCTCTTATTGTGACGATATAGAACATAGTAGAATCTACACATTTATTGATCTATTGATCTACAGCGCGCAAAAGCTCTCGGTCTAGAAGTGCAGTTGATTTAACAAGATTAATTGATTTGATATTTAATGATATAATTAAATATATAGCATTTATTTTATATAATTAAAATTAATAAATTTTTATTAATTTCAAAATATTTTAACAAATTTTATTGCAAATTATTATTTTAAGAAAATATTTTTTCTTATCTGGGTGATTTCTTACTCCCTCTAAATTTTATATATAAAAATAATATTCACACCAATCATTTTGCCAATTATTTCAAAAAAAAAAGCATGATAATGTAATTTTTGATGAAAAATTTTTATTTTTTTAAAATAAAACTTCTTTATATAGCCTTTAAAAATTATAATTTATAAGTAATTTTATCTACTTTAAAAATTTACTTAATATCTTAAGAAAAGTTATAACTGAATACTATTTTTGAATTTTTAATAATTTATGATTTGAGAAATATCAGGATGAGGAATTAATTTCTTCTGTTTTTAATATTAATTGATATCCATATCAAACATTCTATTTAATTACAAAAATTTATCTGATTTTATTTATTTGAACTTTTAGAAAACGAACCTATTACTAAAATCTTGTTATACTAACAGAAAAATCGATTATTCTGCAAAACTTAAATGAAATTTTAAATCAAGAAGAATTGATGGAAAAAAAAAAATTGATAATGAAACAACATTATTAAGTGATAATTTAGGTATTAACATTTCATATTTTTTTTTTATTTTTTAACTTATATATACAAGCACAAATCTAATTTCGTCGTATTAAAATTGTATGATTTCAAACTAAGTAAATTATAATTTATATAATTATTTTGAATTTTCGCCCTCAAAATATATTAATAAATTTGATAAATTTTTACTGGATTCTCCGAAATAGCAAAGGTAGAAAGGTAGAATCAGAATTAAATTTATGAATCAATTACGGATACTTGTATCGTAATTCGTAACACATTAAACTGCCGTAATGCCGTAGTTGTTTAGTGCCAAAAATACAAAATTTTTTGATTATAGCGTAAATCTATAACAGATAATGCCGATCTTTAACTGCAAATCTTATAATTCTGTAATTGTATCCAGTCACGTTTACGGTTATTTTAAAAATTAATTTACTGAGCTGTTAATATGAGTACTGTATATGTATTCGTTATTAATTAAAGAGAAAAATGAATATTTTTTTATTCAGATAAATTAGTCAAAGAATTATTTCATGCGTAACTGTTTACTAACCAAAATTTAAATCAAATTGGCATGGTAACATCACTATCATTGCTGAAAATAGTCTCATTGATCGTCCTTTCGTAATCGTAACTCCGAAATGGCGTAAATCTGTTCATTGTTCTTTATAGGGTTTCCTAAACAAGTTAACTTGGGTAAAACGGTTTAAAAATATAAATTAAATTTTGTACAATTAAAAAAAAAATTATTTTGCAAAAGAAATTAACATGTCTAAAAAGTTTAGTAGGAACTTCAAAAATTTTAGAAATAATAATTCAAATACTTTGAGTGAATATGAATATAGAAAAAATAAATATGATTTGTGTACCGATTGTAAACAACAAAATACCCATTATAATTGGTGCCAAAATTGCAATAGCAAAATTTTTCAACATGATTTTGATAAATGGACTAGTGGAAATAAATATATTGACAAGTTTATTCAAGAAACTCAACTGAAAGCAAGAAAAAGAGAAGAAGTTATAGAATGGATTCCTTACAATAGATTTAGAAATATTAAATATCTTTCTAAAGGTGGATTTAGTACTGTCTATAAGGCTATTTTGTTAGATGGGCCTATAAATTATTGGGATAATAAAGCCCAAACATGGTCAAGGTTTTCTAAAAGCCTTCGGTATGGTAATGACCATGAAATTGCAAAAGAAAAAGATGTTAAATCACCACTTAGTAAAAATGAAAAAAGGGGATATGATGTTGTATTAAAGAGTTTAAATAATTCATCAAATATTAATGATGATTTCTTAAACGAAGTAAGTTATTTTTTAAAAAAAGTACATATTTGTTTTAGTTTATTAATATTATTATTTAATTTTAGTTAAAAAATCATTTACAATGTGTGAGTTCAAGTCGTAATTCTCGTTCAGCCGTATTCATATATGGAATAACACAAGATCCAGAAACATCAAATTATATGATGGTAATGAGATTTATGGACGAAGGAAATCTAAGATCTAATTTATTAATAGTAAAAAAGTATGATAGTTTAATGGATGTTGCAAATGCACTTTTAATTTTACACAAGTGTAATTTAGTTCATGGTGATTTTCATAGTGGAAATATACTTCTAAATAAATTTAACACTCATGTTATAAGCGATTTTGGATTAAGTAGACCAGTAAATAAAACTGCTAATACAAATGAAATTTATGGAGTAATTCCTTACATGGCTCCAGAAGTATTGCGTGGAAAGCCATATACTAAAGCTGCTGATATTTATTCTTTTGGAATTATTATGTGGGAACTTACATCTGGTATTCCTGCTTTCAATAACAGACCTCATGATTTTGACCTTTCTTTAGATATTTGTATAGGATTGAGACCGAAAATTGTTGAAGGAACATTACCTGCTATATATGCAAGATTAATGAAGAGGTGTTGGGATTCTGATCCTAATAAAAGACCAACAGCTGATGAATTAGTAGAAATCCTTTCTATTTGGAGTATTTATAGTCCTTGTTTTGATTCAAATAATAGAATACCTTTTCCTAGTAAGTCAAAAGAATTTAATATCTTTATTAAGTTAATTCATTTTATTTCTTATTTAATTGTAAAAAAGTATATTTTATCTATTTAAACTTTTTAGACAACGAACCTATTACTAAAAATCATCCATTATCTTGTTATACAAGCAGAAAAATCGATTATTCTGCGAAGCTAAATGAAATATTAACACAGGAAGAATTAAGCACTAAAATTGTAATAGACGAAGAAAGAGAATCAAAATTATTAAGTGAAAGTTTAGGTATGTTTTTTTTTTGAATTCATAATATACAAGCATAAATCTAATCCCGTCGTTATTATTTTTTATTTATTAGAAAGTTGTGTGATTTCAGATTAGGTAAATTATAAAATTATTTCGATTTATTTTCGACCTTAAAATACATTAATAAATTTTAATGGATTCTCCGAAATAACGGTAAATTTTTTATCATCAACTAAAGGACGAATCCGCAGATCGGCGGATGTGTATCACATTTGCTGTAATTTTATAATATATAAAGATAAATTTAAAATAAATTAGATTATCCACGAATTAATTCTTTAAAACCCATTATGAAAAATGATTATTAATAAGGAGTTAAAAAGGTTACATACTCTCAGGGTTCTCTCTCATAATATTTGACTAACTTTAAAATAAATAATGGTAAAATTTCATTGTTACTTAAAATTCTTTAAATTATGATATAAAATAAATAAACAAATAAAACGTTTCAAATTTTGCTTAAAGTTCAAGCTTTTTACAATTTTTTAAAACTTTTCTACACGCTAAAACTTTTAAAATTAAATAAAAATATTTACTTGTTATATTTAATATACAAATAACATGAAACCATTTACCCATCGGAACGCTAAGAACTCATCTAACTTCGCGTTTTTTATTTGTATTTATGACGATATTCTTTATTTCAAAAGTAAAAGTTTCATTTTTTTTATCAGTCCGCACATGTAAGCAATAAATATCACGCTTTTTCAGTTAAATTGTTAAATCCTTAATTTAGGCCGATTCTGCAGATCGGCGGTCATACGCAGGTGCAACGCAGTCAACGCACCCTTTATAATATCTCATATATAAAAGTCAAAAACACCATTCTAAACTATACTTTGATCTTTAAGTAAAGTTGTAGAGCAAGAAAAAATACGTATAGTACGTGTATTTTAAAAGCTTTATAATATGTACAGTACATAAAGTTTATGCGACATTTATTCAAAAATCAGAAAATTTAGCGATGTCACGTGATAAGAAATGAGAAAATTACCAAAAAGGGAGGGTGCGTTGCTACAAGCCCGCGTAAAAATGTTTTTTCCTTAATATGTATTCATAAGAATTATTTTTGCAAAATCGCGTAACCAAAAAATTTAAATCAAATTTGGTATAGTGATGTTACTATCATTGCTGAAAATAGTCTCATTGATCGAATGTAACACTCTTTTCGCAATCGTAACTCCGAAATGACGTAAATCTGTTCATTATTCTTTATAAGGTTTCCTAAATAAATCAACTTGTGTAAGACGTTTTAAAATATAAATTAAATTTTGTACAATTAAAAAAAATTATTTTAATTATTTTGCAAAAGAAATTAACATGTCTAAAAAGTCTAATAGGAACTTCAAAAATTTTAGAAATAATAATTCAAATACTTTGAGTGAATATGAATATAGGATAGATAGATATGGTTTTTGTACCGATTGTGAACAACCAAAAACCAATCATGCTTGGTGCCGAAATTGCAATAGTAAAAGATTTCAACATGATTTCGATAAATGGACTAGTGGAAATAAATATATTGACAAGTTTATTCAAGAAACTCAATTGAAAGCAAGAAACAAATTTGAAGTTATAGAATGGATTTCTTACAATAGATTTAGAAATATTGAATATCTTTCTAAAGGTGGATTTAGTACTGTCTATAAGGCTATTTTGTTAGATGGATATATACTTTATTGGGATTATGGAGCCCAAACATGGATAAGGTATTATAAAAGCTTTGAGTCTAATAGTAAAGACTATGAAATTGCAAAAAAAAAAGATGTTAAATCACCACTTAGTAAAAATGAAAAAAGGGGACTTCATGTTGTATTAAAGAGCTTAAATAATTCATCAAATATTAATGATGATTTCTTAAACGAAGTAAGTTATTCTTTAAAAAAGTACATATTTGTTTTAGTTTAATTAATATTATTGTTTAATTATTAGTTAAAAAATCATTTACAATGTTATACGTCAGCTGTATACATATATGGAATAACGCAAGATCCAGAAACATCAAATTATATGATAGTAATGAGATTAATGGAAAAAGGAAATCTAAGATCTAATTTATCAATAAAAAAAAATAATCTATTTGAAAAATATTCTAGTTTAATGTATATCGCACAAGCACTTTTAACTTTACACAAGCGTAATTTAGTTCATGGTGATTTTCATAGTGGAAATGTACTTCTAAATAACCCTGACATTCATGTTATAAGCGATTTCGGATTAAGTGGACCAGTAGATAAAACTGCTAATACAAATGAAATTTATGGAGTAATTCCTTATATGGCTCCGGAAGTATTGCGTGGGAAGCCATATACTAAAGCTGCTGATATTTATTCTTTTGGAATTATTATGTGGGAACTTACATCTGGTATTCCTGCTTTCAACAATAGATCTCATGATTTTGACCTTTCCTTAGATATTTGTAAAGGATTGAGACCAAAAATTGTTGAATGCACATTACCTGTATATGTAAGATTAATGAAGAGGTGTTGGGATTCCGATCCTAATAAAAGACCAACAGCTGATGAATTAGTAGAAATCCTTTCTATTTGGTATGATTGTGGTGATAAACTTCTTAAGCTAGAATATGATTCAAGAATACCTGTTCCTAGTAAGTCAAAAAAAATTAATTTCTTTATTAAGTTAATTCTTATTTAATTGTAAAAAGTATATTTTATCCAATTTTATTTATTTAAACTTTTTAGATAACGAACCTATTACTAAAAATCATCCATTATCTTGTTATACAAGCAGAAAAATCGATTATTCTACGAAGCTAAATGAAACATTAACACAGGAAGAATTGAGCACTAAAATTGTAATAGACGAAGAAAAAGAATTAACATTATTAAGTGAAAGTTTAGGTATGTAAAATAAATTATTATTATTATTTATCATTAATTTTTTTTAAATTTAAAATTTTTTTTTGATCTAGAAAACTGTATTATTTCTGATTAAAAAATGGGTCAGTTATAATTTACATAATTTGTATAAAATTTATTTTGAAATTTATTAAATAATGTTTTTTTATAGACCCTGAGGAAAGACATAAAATTCGGATAATTTGAAGAATTCTTTACTGCGAAAATTTTATTTTCTGACGTCACATTTTCACGTCCTATTTATACGTAACGATGTGCTTTTTTTGGATAAAATTTTAAAAAGAAAAAAAAAAAAAATTTTTTTATCATACTTACGTATCATTATATTAGGTTCTAGCATCAATTAAAATATTTAAAAGGGAGGTAGTGTTCAAAGAAATCTTTGTAGCTTATTAAATTTATATCAGCGTAATTAAATAGCAATTACTTTGAATAAATTTTATTTTTTTATTTTTTTTTCTTTTTTGAAAGGTTAAAATTTCTTGAAATTCCTCTTCCAATTAATTAATAATAGCATATTTCTTGAAAATAATGTGGCGCAATAACGCAAAAAAATATATATATATATTTTTAATTGATAATTGACCTACTTTATATAGATAAAAACGTACTTATTCTTTAACTAAAAAAAAGAATAACCTAAGTTTTGGTTAGACATCTATCAATGTGTTTTTACTTTGAAATTTTAGCGTCATCAGAACTACTGACGTGAAATCGTGAAATGATCGGGCCAATAGACTGATAATTTTAGGTGGGAATTTTTTAAAAAATTACTAGTCCTTAAAAGTTTAATCATTTATCTATATATAACTCGTCAAACTCGGATGCTGGGCCCAGCCCTGAAATTCAATTTCCAAAGAAAAATTGCTGTGACCGTTTAGGACTACCTAATTTTAGAATTCTATATGCTCATTTTTCACTACATATTTACTATATACTCAATTTTAGACCAGTCGAGAACTGACAATTATTATAAGGCACAGTATATTCAACTTATCAACTAAAAATAATTTACAATAAATGTTTTTTTTTTTAGAAATGTGAGGAATATAAGGATATTTGACTATTAATGTCAATCAATGGTTCTACTTTTTTATTTTGGGATCAAATAATTAAGGTTTTTATAAATTTTGAACGTAAAATTGTTGAAATAATTATATCATAAAATTATTTAAGGATAACTCGGTAATTTTTAATTTTTTTTACTATTAATAATTATTTGTTTAATAATTATTTGTATAACAACTTTCGTTCTTTGATACATTTAAGAAAATTTTGATACATTCAAGAAAAAGTTCCAAAAATATCAAATATTTACTATTTAAAGAAACAAAAAAAGAAAAAAAGAAAAAAGAAAAAAAGCCCTAAAATAGTCAAACACTAAACTATTAAATTCCAAGATGTGATACATTAAGTAATTATAAATGAATTAAATTAAAAGCGATCTACAATTATGTATACAAGCACAAAAAGCCAACTTGCATTCATATTGTATACAGTAAATGTATGGACGGAGTTTGTTATACGATTATAGAATACATTTAAAGATTAGTTTCTGACAATTATATACAAGGTTTATTTACGTAAAAAATCAATTTATTCAAATTATCACATCAAAATTTGATGATTATGTAACGTTTTATTGGATAGTTTGATTAATATATATATATATATCTTATACATATTATGAGGAAATAAAATATATCATTTGGAAAACATGAATTTAAACAATTATACAACTTATACAACTCTAGATGATATGGATCAAACTACACCTTTACAATTCCTTGATAATAATAATCTTCAAAATAATAACGTTGAAATGTCTAATGAGACCTTGAACATTTGTACCATTCCTGCGCCTCAAAACACTGTATTTGAATTTTATCTTCCTCTACCAAATGACACTATCTACCTTACGCTCTTTAGAAATCGCGCGACGCTTAAATAATGGTATCAATTTATCTCACATTATTGACTGTCAACTTCCACATCATCATCATATTCACTCTTTGATTAAACAACAAATTCTTCACCCTGTTGATTATCAATCACAACCTTTCGATGCTATGACTCCTCAAACATATGCAGATGTAGATGATAATGTCAATAATGCAACTTTAAATACTTATGATACGCAAGATACAGTATATGATGGAATTACGCCTAATCAAGCGCCGTCTAAAAAATAACAATGCATATTATTAATATTATTATATATTATACAATTTTATATCATGGATAGTATTACTTTTAGAGGTTGGAACCGACCAAAAAAACCTTAACCGATTAATAATCGACTAATCAGTTACCATAACCGAATAATAATCGGTTAATTAATCGGTTAATTAATCGGTTAATTTGTGATGAGGTTAACCGATTAATTAATCGGTTAATATATAAATTTTGCACCCTATATGGATAATATACATGTATTATTTCAAAAAGTTATATCAAATTTTAATGGGAAACGAGAACTGACTTTAATTCAAGGTTTACTTAAATGGGAAATTAACAATATTAATGATAGTGGAATTGAATTGCAAGTTTTTAGGAATGTTTTTATTCCGCCGCCCATTTGAATATTTTGCATAATATATATCACATGACATTTAGCTACGTCATAAATAACTTAAAATAAAAACAAATACTTATAAAAGCATTTAAATATGTTACAAAAAAATATATAATAAATGACCAGATAGAGATTCATTTTCAATAGGTCTATAATCAATATATTCTGAAAAAATGTCATTTGTTTCATTATCACCCATATTGTATAATTTTTTTTATAATAAATTAAAATTTCTCAAGTTTTAATAAAAAGTTTAAATGGGTTTATTTTTTTGACAAGTTTGTCAATACTGTATATTAAAAAAAACTTCTTATCGGAATTTCGGGATAAAAAATCATCTAATCTGAGAAAATGATCTGCATATTATTTTAACCGACTAAATTAGTCGGTTAATTAATCGGTTAATTTAGTCGGTTAATTAGTCGATTAACCGATTTTTTGATACTTTTAACCGATTAACCGCCTTAACCGATTAATTAATCGATTAACGTTAATCGGTTCCAACCTCTAATTACTTTTTTTAGTTTTGACAGTTTTCAATTATTTTAAATAATAATTTAAATTTTCTAATAAATATATTTAGCATAATTTTTTTACGTATATAATTTAGAATCGATGATATACGTTTAATTCGTTTTAACGATTTTTCTTTTTCGATAATTTTTTTTTTTAAAAAAAAGATAAATTAAATTTTACTGGCGTTGAAAATTAACTGGAAAATTTTTTTTTGTGAAATTTCATATTTTAATATTTTAAACGGTTAATGATTACGTAAATAAAAAGAAATTTTAAAATAATGGGATAGACATGAATTACAAATTAGATAGTAACGATTAATTACATGATAATACCTCCATGAAATTTAAAATTTTGTCAACAAACAGAATTTAATGTGACATAGCACAAGCCAAACATCCAAGTACAGTTCCATTCTAGAACCGGACAAAAGATACAACCGGGGTGTTACAAATAAAGTCAATTTGTAACGAACTAACAGGGTCCTGTATATTTTTAAACCAAAAACAAACCAAAGCATTACAACTTTATATAAACTATGATCGGAAGTAAAGTTATTCTGATAATTTTACGCCGGGAAGAATATATATATAGAAAATATTATATTAAAAAATTCCGTTTGAATTTTACATTTTTAACTTTTTCTTTTCGTATTCAAAGTCAAGTAATATTAATTTATTGAAAGAGCCTAAAAAAATATTTTCATTTTCCTAGATTCGTTAAAATTAAAGAGTTGAGTAAAATTCGTTAAAATTCGGTAAATTTTAATGAATTCTATTAGTTAACGGGAAGTTTGTAAAATTTTTATTTGTAGCATAGACCGACAATATCATTTCGCCGAAATTAAGCCTGTTTACAAACAATATAAAAACCAATGGAGTACAAATTAAAATCATGAGGGATAAGAAATATCTGACGTCTTCGATCAATTCAAGTTATTCAACTGCCCCATAAACAAACAACTCTCACGTGATTTGTGTAATTAAGAGTGATAAAGTACAAAAATATTATTATATTCTACTTAGGTAAATAAGTTTCTTTTATTTTTTTTTATACTAACTATATAATAAACATTTTAGGTTATGTAAGTGACAAATAATCAGTGACAAATAGGATTTCACCCACTCCATTTGGTCACGTGATAGAGAGGTATTGAATCAATTGATCAATTTTCAAAATAAAAATACTTGTACACATTAAAAAACATTGATTTCATATGTGGAATAATTTAATATTTTTTTTTGTATTGTATTCAAAAAAATTTGGTCTAGCATTTAATACGCCTTTAACTAATCTGATTAAATAATCTACAATTGTGTTTTTGTTGTTTTTGTTGGTGAATCAACCACAAAAAAAATTATGGTAAATATTACGTATTCAGCGAATATGCTTTTTAGCCGATATTTTGGTTGCATTTTTAATTTAACACTATTAGAATGAATTGGTAAAAAAATAAAGATCGGCAAAGATCGGCAATACATGATTTCTTTATTGTCATACGGAATTAGTTTTCCCTATAATATATAAATCTACGGCTTGGCACTCCCATGCATTTTTTTTTTTTTATTTATTTGTTTATTTTATTTTAATGTATATAATTAGCATAATTTTCCCCTTAAAAAAAAAAAAAATTTTTTTTTATATATCTATTTTCTTCCTTTCTATCCCCTTTTCCCTTAAAAATTTAACAATAATATGGTACAATCATTACCAGCAGAGTCCCTTCAAGAAATATTTAAATCTTTTAAAGATGATATAAAAATATTACACTCATGTTTATTAGTGAATAAATTTTGGGCTAGTTGTGCAGTATCTTTTTTATGGAGTCGACCTTTCGAACTTTTAACTCGTCCATCAAGTAAACTTATCGAAACTTATTCGAAATTTTTCGATAAAGATTCTCAAAAAATCTTATCATCTTACGGAATTATAATTATACCACCTCAAAAACCAACGTTATTTGAATATCCTTTATTCATTAAAAGTCTTCAATATGATTATCTTTATGATTTTAGTTCTGTATGGTTTCAAGAAGGGTTTAATAAGGGTATACAAAAACGTTATGCGGGATTTGAAAAAACAAGTATATTAAGAGTTTTTGTTAAGGAATTATTTAAATTAATGTTTAGTAAATTTTCTAGTATAGAAGATTTATCATTTAACGTAATAAGATTCCTTGACGCACCGGATATAGCTGGTAGTAGATTGGTTAGTAGATTTAGACCATATAGGGATGCATCATACGTTAAAAGAGCTTTAGAATATTTATCATTATTTGAAGAAGATATAATTGAAATACTTTCTTTTGAAGATTCTAAAATTTCTTTAAAAAGATTACAAACATTAGAATGTGGAGCGAATAGGAATGATATCGTTATATTGGATACATTCAGGAATTTAACAAGGTCCATTAATACTCTAAAATTTAATTTTGCATCAGAATTAAGTAATCATAACGTTTATGATGATGCTAATATAATCTGTTCGATTACAAATCTAATTAAGGAACAAAGATATATAAAGAAAGTTAGTATACGTCATGGAACTCAACATGTTTTTGGATTAGTCACAGCGTTGGAATGTCATGTTAATAATCTTACTGAATTATCATTTGATAAGATTGATTTTAACATAATACCGACAGCAGAAAAAATATTTTCTATAATTTCTTTATGTGAAAATTTAAAAAAATTAGTTGTAACAAATTGTGAAGGGATAACTAACGAAATAATTTTACCACTCGGTAATGCGACATTTATTAATTTAGAAACGCTCATATTTACAAAGACGCATAATCCTATAGATGATATTTTTAGGGCTTTCTTAATAGGAGTTCCACGACAGAATAATATCACTCCTTTAACACTTGAACCATTAAAAAATCTTATAAGTACAAATGGAAATTTAAAGGTTTTACGTTTAGGTAGAAATTTACTTTATAGTAGAGATTTACCAAATGATTTCGTTTTTTCAACAACTTATCCACCGGTGGATGTGATGGAGTCGGCAACATCATGCTGTCGTAATTTAACACTTATCGAAATTCATATTAGGAGAGAAATATTACCTCAGGTGCTTAAGGTCTTGGAATCAAATTGTCAATTAAATCGTTTGATCTTCTCTGCAGAAATGGAATTAGTTGATGATGAACGTTTTTGGAGAAAATTGTCAACTTCTCTTCCAATTAGTTTAAAAGATTTAACCATTAGTATTGGACCAGTGTTTTGGTTGATGGTATTACATTGGTTATTTGAAAATATGAAATGTAAATTGGAAATTTTACAATTTCCTTTATCCATCTTCATTGATGATGAATATCTTTGTATTATTACTCAATACGCTAAACTAATGGGATCTTTAAAAAGATTGGCTTTACATAATAGTAATAGGATCACTCAAAAAGGACTATCTAAAGCGCTCCTCGTAATTGAAACTATTACAAATACTGGTGAATATAATTATTAAAATAGATAATAATTTTACGCCGAATTCTCCAAAAAAAAAAAAAAAAAAAAAAAATTGTAATTACTTTTTTTAAAATCACATTATGATAGAGATTAAGATAGAGGAGTAAAAAATAATTTTCTAAGATTTATTTTGTAAGATTTTTTTTTTTTACGGCGGGTAGTGAGTAGTGATTGATAATATTTTATGTTACGTACACTACATCATTTTTTTCATTTGTTTTTTTTTTTGTTTTTTATTAAATAAAAAAGTATCTTTTTTAGATAAATTTAGAAAGAATTATGGAGTTTGAAGCATGGAATTTGCTGATGGAATTTGCTGCATCAAAACATCAATAAATCAATGATTTTGATTTTGATTTTTATTTTATTTTTTTTTTTAAGCCAATAAGTTCTCGTAAAATTAAAAATAGAACGGATTATTTTAACGGGATTATGATTAATCCGATAATCAATCAACCTGCCATTTCTGATTATTTGATCGGGATTTTCTCGTTTTAGATTAAATCAGCAACAATTAGTTACAGGTTTTATATGCAAGCTTGAAACCAATTCTTTTTGAGTATTCATTCATACATTATAATTTACGTAATTTTCAATTCCCTTATGAAATTTTTTTTTTTTTTATGTTTTTCCGATATCATCGATATCGTGATTGTTAACAATAAATCACGTTCTTTTTTTGTCGTTCCCATATTATAATCTACAATAACTCTTTTTTTCATATCATGATTTTCTTTATTTTACTTATATTGACAAGTTACATTCTCTGTAGCACGTGAAACGTGTAGATCAAATGTTAAATCCGGTTTAATCTAATTGGTCTTTATCCATTTAATTGGTCTTTGGGTATTATCCGTAGTTGTTGATTTTTTTTTTTTTTCGTTTTTTTTTTCTCATTCTTATTTTTCCTTTTTTTCACGTTTAAAAACGAGATTTCCATCTTTTTTGGCAACAATGAGTAATAACGATAATGACCCTCACTTTATTAACAACATCAACTTCAACAACAACTCCAACAACTCCAACAACTCCAACAACAACAATAATAACAACAACAACAACAACAATAATAATAACGATAAATCAGTACCGATTCCAACAGAAATTCTTTTACAAATATTTTCATATTTAAATAAAGATTATATAACATTATATAATTGTTTATTAGTTAATAAATTTTGGTATATAAATGTAATAGAAATATTATATTCTAATCCTTTTAATTTATTATTACAATCAAATACATTAAATACTTCAACAACACAACAAATTATAAATTGTAATAATAATAATAATCATTATAATAATAATTTAAGAAAATTAATTATAATACCAAATATAAATTATTCAAAAAAATTTAATAATAATATTTATAATATTAATAATAATAATACTATAGAAAATAGGATAGTAAAATTAATAGATTTATATATTAAATGTTTAAAAATTTGTCATGAAAATGATTTTAAAGAAATTGAGAAAAGATTAAATGATAAAGAGATTTTTTATATTTATAATAATAATTATGATGATGGGGATGGGGATATTAATCATGGTGATAGTAATAATCATGGTAACAATCATGGTGATAATAATGATTCGGATGGTAATAATCATGGTGATAATAGTGATTCGGATGGTAAAAATCATGAAGATCAAGATTCCTCCTCCTCCTCCTCTTCTTCCTCTTCCTCTTCCTCTTCCTCTTCATTATTATTGGATTATTCATCATATTTGAGATATTTAAGATATGATGATTTATTTAATTTCACTTCTATTTACTTAAATTCATTTCCTCATAATACAAGAAAAAATTTCGTCTCTTTAAACAACAACTATTATTACAACAACAGCATCATCAACAACAACAACAATAATAATGGTTTCAAGAAATCATTATATACTTATAATCCTTATAGTATTATAACGAAGAGAACGATAGTAATGGAATTATTTAAAAAATTTTTAAATCAACGTAAAAATTTAATAGAATTATCATTAAATACGAATTTTATTAATGATTTTAAAAAATTCGAGATGAATTTTAACGGTATCGATCAAGATTTATTTGATATATTTAATGAAAAAACTTTAGATGATAACGATCATAACGATTATAACGATCATAGTAACGATGATGATGATAATAATAATAATGATAATATACGTACTTTAATTTGTGGTGGGATTAAATTTGATGAAATATTAAAATCATTACAAAATAATTTAAAATTATCATCTATAAAAAATTTTATAATGGATTTTAATTTACCTTATAATTTTAATTTAAGTAATAAATATTATATTTCTTCAAATAAGATAGTGAATTTTTTATCCACACAAAAAAATTTAAAAAAATTATGCGTTGTTGGAAGATATTATGAATTACATGATATTTTTTTAAAATTATCTCAACGTAATATTTTAAAAAAATTATCTTGTTTAGAATTTTATGGTATAGTATTTAATAATAATAATCATTTAACTATAGGAAATGGAAATGGAAATGATGAAAATTCTCTTAATAATAATAATTTAATTCAAGGAAAATCTCTTATAAATGAGATAATTTTTTGTAATAATTTACAAGAACTTGTATTTGAAGATTGTGTAAATCTTACTAGTGATACTTTATTTCAATTACGTAATTCAAAATTTACGTCCTTAAAAAAATTCACTTTTAGAAATTGTTCAGGAAAAAATATTCATTCTTCTTCTTCACATAATTCTTTAGCGTATCTTATTAAAAATAATAGAAAATTTCTTGAAGAAATTAGATTTGGAAGAAAATTAAAATGGTTTATAAGAAAAATTTATGATGTTGGTGGTATAGTATTAGAAGAAATGATGAGATGTGAAAATTTAAAAGTAATAGAATTTTGTTTATTGGTTAATATTGTTGAAGAATTTTTAGATTTACTTCGATCATGTAAATCTTTAGAAAAAATTATTATATCAATAGAAGGTGAATTAAGTGATAATGAATTATTTTGGAAAAGATTTGGTAATTCTTTAAATGAAAATCGTAATTCTTTAAATGAATTATCAATTTGTATAGGTGGTGGTATAGGAACTAATAATAATGAAAATGAATTATGGATTGAAATGTTTGAATGGTTTTTTAATTCTTGTGATATTCCTATTAATATATTGAAATTTCCTACGTGTCATTCTATTAATGAAAATTATTTAAAAATTATTGAAAAATATGCTAAAAGGGTTGGTGGTATAAAAAAGATTATGTTATGTGAAGGTATTATAAGAAGGAAAAATTCTATTGATTTGAAATTTGAAGGTGTACAATATTTACAAATTTGTTGTAATGATGTAGAATTTGATGATGATGATTTGATAAAAAAAATTAGATTTAGAAGTAATATTCAATAAGTATAGATAACTTAGGGTTCGTAGGGTTAGGGTTGGTGTATATATAATTACGTTCGACGTTGGTACGTTCGACGTTTTCAATTTCCAATACGCACAGATCTTGATCGTGATGATCTGAGTAAGTAAGTTGTTTATTACTTTTTTTTTTAAACATATATTGTAATAATTGATTTTCTATAATTTTACGTACCATGTTTTTGTATTTTTTTAGGTTCAAAGCAAATAAGTAGCAACAGAAGATGGCAGGTTAATTTTGGATCAGGTACGCAACTACAAGTATTTCGTCCACGGGACGACGCTTTCTTTCTTCCATGGACTATATAGTTATCATCACTTCACTCTTCCCCTTCTCCTTTCATTCCCTCGCCCTTTCGTCCTTTCCCTTCCTTTACCATCCTTAGCCTTTTCCTCTACTATTGCCTATTATTTCCTTCCTGTCCTCTTCACCGCTCCTTCACCCTTTCCTTTTGCCTCAACGTTGGTGATATAAGTCAGAAACGATAGATAGAACATGTATATATATATATGATGATGTTAAATTATAAATCAATTTATTTCACTTATTTAATATATTAAATTGTTTCCAATCTGTATAAACAAAATTTAATAAAGATTTTATTTTATTTCCTATTCTAATTATCAAATGATCGTGACGTGATCAAAGTAATGCGATCACATGTTCACATCGATTATTTAAAAGTATTATATTTACAATTTATTTTCTTTCCGTAGCCGTTTTTACTCGGGAGGGATGTGCTTAGCACTTCCCTCCACTGGATCATTTTCGACACCAGGGTGGCGCTGTCAGATTTGGCGGTTTGGTTCACGATTTAATTTAGAATTACTTTTAGGCTTACGTATAGTTCGTCCCTGTAGTATGTATCGTGACTTTGTTCACATGGAAATTATAAATAAAATAAAATTTATAATTTCTTTTCCAGCTTCTTCAGTCTATATTATTGGAGAACCTAAAAGCCAAAACGCCAAAACGCCGGAGCCGTGATGATAATGAGATCAAGGCTTTAACCCGCTGATCCGTGAAATAACTGGTTTATACCACGAAGACTAACGTCCCGTATACAATATTAAACTATCGATAGACTTTTTTAGCTTTATCCTTTAAATAAGCATCACCCATAAAATATTAATAAGGAAAATCACGGACGACTATTAAGGAAACGTGGTATAAAAATACCAATTCATTCTCGTTCACAATAATAGCACTTTCTTATGTCATTTAAATAGTGATAAATTGATAGATGGGGACAATTTAATAATATACTTATTTATGTGTTAAAATGAAAGTCTCAGAAAATGAAATCGAGAAAAGGAATATTCGATCGTCAGCGCAAAAAAAAGGCCCTCCATAACGTAAAAGTTTCATGCCTTATGTCGCCACAATTTAAGCGCCAAAAGCGTTCAACTTAGCCACATACGATCTCAAATACTTAATTACATAATATATTAGTTATGTTTATAAAAAAAATTCACAAAAGATATATAAGTACAAGCATATCACGTACGTTGAATTACAATTATTACTAAAATTGAATAATCAAACTTACTTTTTATAAATTTATTAATAAAATATTTATAAACTTAAAAAACAAAATAGTTAATTTTCAAGAATGATCTTTTTATTGTTTTTATTGAATATTTTTTTTTTTTAGGAATTATCCACTTTCATGATAAAAACAAATTTCCGTGTTGATATCGAACAGCTTAATATTTAAATGCTTTAATTCATCTTTTCAACTTCTTTTTAAGTTTGCAGTATATTCCCATTTTTAGTTGCTTTTTCACATTTTCTTCAACGGATAGAATTTTCACGGCAAATAGGAAGACCACAACTTTCTTCAATGATGTCTCTTCGATCTCAGAAAGTCAATGGTTATTGCTAACTTGATACAGCCTTCGAAGAACTATTCGTAGTCTCACCTTTTCATCTTATTGCCTCTTTTATTGTTGGTTTCCCGTTGCTATCTTACCTAATTGAAATGAAATATTGCTTGGTACTTTTAGTATGGAACCAGTTAATTAGGTGACAAATAGGATTTCACCTACTCGAAAAAAACAAAGTCCCTCAGATAAATAGTAAACGTGGTGGGTGTTGCACGTTATAAATAAAAATAGATCACTTGATCGAAGAATCTTTCTGAGAATTTAGCATTATTTCAAGACACGTTGAACCAAGAGTCCCTCTCGTCTCTCGCTCTTCTTCAAGGTCAAAGATCATCGCCTCCCTTAGGATCGCGATTTGGTTGTTAGTGTTAGAATTATTCTCGGCTTAATGTATTTTGTCCTTATAGTTTGTACTGCAACTTTGTATCTTCTGCGTCATAAAAATAAAACGTTGAATCAAGAGTTCATCACTGTAGTCTAGAAGAATGTCTCCTGAGCTAGGAGTTCCCAGCTTGCGCTCGAAATAAAGAGTTCACCACTGCGATCAAGAGTCACTTGCTTTCTTTTAATAATTTTATCTTTCAGATGTCAATTATTCTTGAGCTTTATTTCAGTGTTTCAGTGTTTCAGTATCAGACCAAAATTTTAGGTCGCGAGTTGCGACACCGTTTTTATATAATCATGCACGCTCCGTTTATCATTTCGCTACCACATGTCCTATTCTTGACCATAGCAAGATAAAGTTATTTGGAGTTATTAGCAGCAGGCCATGAATAAATGAAAAAATTAAGATACTTCTTTTTAGTGACCAAGATTTCAAATGCATGATCGATAAAAACTCGATCACGTTTAATTATTCACGTGATATAGATATTGCATTTTATTGGCCAAATATCACCAATCTCCAATATTAATTTTGGCTCGAATTACGAATTTTGTGATTGATCTGGTGCTTGACAAAGTCAATGGCCGAGCATAATTGGACTCGATTAAATTCTAATTCCTAATTTTGACATTTCCTTACAAATTTTGTTTGAAGTACATCAAACTTCAGAGAAATAAATAATAATGAACTATCTCTCGAGCTAGCAGTGGGAAGCTTGTACACAACTGAATACCGTGGAGCATTAACCATTTTTTGACCTGGTTGAGCGAGATATGAAAACGGAAAATTTTATTTTTTATTACCTAATTAGGTTACAGTTTTCACGCAGTGACGCAGATCAGATCAAGATTGATTCATTACTATCTATTAGTATTTTGATACTTTTGATGATAATTTATTTCATCATCTAAGAGAATATTTTAAATATGTCTAATGACTTTCCGCTAGATGCCCAATTATTTATATTTCAAAATGCTAAAGTGCTTAGATCTGTTATTCAGCAAACCGTTCTCCCCTGGCTTTATGGATCGGGTGGTATCCCAGTAAATAGTTTTGTATAAATTTGTACCAAATGGGTTCATCCACATATAATTGGATCTAGATTGGCTTAAATTTGGATTATTTTTTGCGTAAATTTGAGCTAATTTCGAACCAATGAGCCCGTTTGGTATAAATTTATACAAAAACTATTTACTGGGTATTTGATGCAATTCTGCAAAAGGCCGAGTAACGCTTTAGCCGACTTGTAGAATTGTAAATGTAAATTTAGTCTGATGACGAGGTTTTATGACGGGTTTGCATTTATTTTTTGTCAATTATTTGCGTATGATAGCGAGGTCGGTATTTAAAGATTTCTATTTTCTACGAAGTACAATAAAATACAAACAAATCATGTCAGTATATAGCGAATTCTCAAGTGGCAGCAGCGATAACATCGATGTAAAGCAACAAATGATTTGCATGCTCTCATTGTAAATGCCTTAAGAAAAAATGTGTTAATCCAAACATTTTCTGAACAAATTCAATTTATAACCAGTCCAATTTCTGGAAAATACAACTGAAATAGTTATTAGCCGAAAATAGGGGTTGAATTAGTCCGATTTGGTACAGTCCAGTCCCAAAAAGACCAGTCTTTTAGCCAAGACTGGACCGGACCGATCCAAGTTTTGACAAAATTTCAAAAATTTATGTTTATTGATTATTAAAATATTTTTAAAAAAACGTAAAACTATTATTAATAAGAAGGTGATGATAGGAGTAAGGTAGAGGATGATGAAAACAAAGGGGGAGAATGGAGGCCTATCGTGGAAAAGGTAAAGATAGAGGTAGACATTTTAGAGGTAGAGGTACACAGAGTAGAGGTAGACGTTAGTAATTAGTAATTAGTAGATAATCTTATTGAAATACATAGTTAGCTTTCCTTTGGCATTTAGTGATGAGTTTTCGTCGTACCTATCATTGCACGCTGATGGAGTTAGTAGATAGCAATTGATGTTCTTGAATTTATTTTGTACCATCTACAGTTTAAATTTATAATAAAAAATGTGCGTTACTAACAAAAAAAAAAACAACTATAATTTATTCCAATCAATAAAGAATCCATTCAAATATTGACAGTTAATTACTAATTTTCTAAGTTTATAAAATTAAAATTTTTATGATGTGATATTTAAGTTTTGATAAATAGTTAATAAATTTTTTTTTATTAATCGGATCAAATTTTAGAGTGAGGTTCGCTTAAACTAGTTTTTGGTTTTAATTGACCTAATATTCCCATTATAAACATGATTTTAATATCACAAATTATTTGTCACTGACTCGTTCAGATACAAAACAAAAATGAACTCCTAATTATACCAACATAAAAATGGAAATTCTTTTATATACTGTATTAGATTTTACAGATAAAAAATGATTTTTTAATTGATAATTAATAAAAAAAGCTGAATTAATTAAAATGTTTAAGGAATATTACTAAGTATAAAATAAAAATAAGATTATCATGAGCAAGAACTTTAAGAGATTCTCTAGGAACCATGTTTTATTGACGAAATTCATTTATTTTTGAATAATAAATTTCTATTTCTCTTTTTTTTATTTCGAAAATACCTTTTTTTAATGATCATGGGAATGTGGTGCATAAAAAATTAATTGCCCCATAAATAATACTTTGTAACATAATAAAATAATTAATCAATATAAAATAATAATGAAATACGTTTATTGATAGTAGTTTAAATTGAATGATCGATGAAATATCGATTGCACGTGATAATGTTCAAATAACAAGAAATGTATATTTGACAACTTTGATACGTGTCTTTTAAGAAATTAACATCTAATTTTTGGAAAATTGACAATGAGAAATCTAAAAACACAATGTAAATTTAAGAAATTCAAGAAATAAATGGTTTTGATATGCAAATAATGAAGATGTCATGTCTTTGTTTAATAAATACGAATAAAATCAGGGTTATAAACGTAAGATATAAATTTACCATCTTTAATAATTTTCAACGATTTTTTTTTACAAAAAAAATACTTGAAGATTCTGCGTTGATACTATCATTTTTTTTTCATTCTTGTTCGGAAAGATTACAATTCCTAAATTTATTACGTTCCAAATTTTAGTTTTATTTAATTAATAAATCGAGTAAATATAAAATAATGAATATATATAAATAAATCAATAAAATCTTTAATAATTTTAGAAAACACTTAACTAGTCTTGTGAGAAAGACATCCTATGACCATTAGTGAACATGATGAACCAGAAGGTACAGTACATAACAATACTTACGTAATTCTCTATCATGTTGCGTGACACGACTATATAATTATTTTAATTAAAAACTGTAAAATAAAATTTGCAATTAAAAAATCAAAATTGGCTTTTTAATGGTTCTCCTTTTATCATTTAAAGATAGAATTAAAGAAGACTCTAGGAAAAGGAGACTTCAGAGAAAGGAAAAAAGTCAACAATAATAATAGTCATTACGGAAAACCAATGTTGAAAAGAAAATAATTTGAAAAAGAAAGAATGATCTCTGAATGGAAATAATATTTTTCTCGTAACTTACAACAAAAAAATTATGAGTTTGATCATAACACAAAAATTTTTTTGATAAATATTTAGTCATGTACTAGTAAACAAATGGTTAGAAGAAATTTATAGCTTATTTTATTCATGTAAATAAATACATGTAAAATATTACTTGTAATTTAGCAAATTTATTCTTCCAAAAAAAAAAAGAATTTTCACATTTCATTTCTTATAAAATCTACTAATGCGCATATTAAAAATGATTAAAGTCGTACTGGACATGAAATAAATTTCATTTTACCCAAATTAATAAAATTAATAAAGTAAAATAACTTATTTAATATAAGAAGAAATAAGTATTTGTTTAAAAGAGAAGGGAAAGAAAATGTTGAAATAGTAGTAATAGTCACGTTATTATATCAAGATTGAATCAGAAAAAAAAAAATAATAACTGTAAACAGGGATTAAGGGATTATTGTTTTATTGTCATGTTATTATTAAATATACGTGGTTACGATATTTGTACTTGTCATTGCGTAGTAGATCAGATGCATATTCACCTATTTTACTGACACCTGTTTCACCGACATAAAATTTACTGACGTAATTTTGCCTACTTGCCATTTTACCGACATCACATTTTCCGAAATTATTTTAACGAATCCTTATTTTGCCGACGATCATGAAATTTTGTCCTTATAGTATTAAAAAGCAAGAAATATTTTCAATGACATAAATATTTTGTTTCTAAAATTTCTAACCGTAATATTTGAAAAAAAAATAGAGAAAAGATTACAAAGGAATAATTAGATTGGTGCTTTTAAAATCTTGCATTTTGTTAATCAGTTTGTTGAACTTCAGCACTTGAAATAATTTGAAAATTAAGGCGCAGTAAGGAGTGAGGCGCAGCTAATAAATTTTGACTTCCCTAGCGTAACCAGCGTAACCTGAAAAAAATGTCATGAAATGGCCGGCATTACGCAACTTGACTGAAATTAAGTGTGGCGCAATTGTGACGAATAATGTGTGACGAATAAGTTTTTACCTACTCGAAAAAAACTAAGTCCCTCAGATACTTATAGAAAATGGAAACGCAGTGGGGTGTGACGGTTGTGACAAAAAAAGTCACGTGATTTTTCGTGACATTTTTTTCATGTTACGCTGGGAAAGTCATAAATTTTTGGTTGAAATGACAAGTCGGGTAATTTTACATGTCGGTAAAATGGAAGTCAGCAAAATGGCGTCGGTTAATTTCATGTCGGTAGAATATTAAAATTGTACTGTAACCGTTCAGATAAATTTTCTTTTATGGTTCTTACACAAAAAATGTTTACGTACAGTATATAGTTACATGTTGTATCATTATTTTTATTATCAATTTATCATATATTAAATATTTATTTGAAAATTAACGTTATCAGTATTTTTATTATAAATTTTGTAATTAAATAATTTTTTGGTAAAAAATGGAATGGGTTAAAAAGAAGCCTAAAAATTATGGGAAAATATTATTTAAGGAATTAATCTTTATTTTTCTGTCATTGTGATTTAACTAAATTATAAACAAAATCTATTCTAAAAAGGAAATTTATATATATATCATTTATTCCAGTAAAGTTAGAGCTCCAGGAAATGATCCGGTCGGGAAATGACCAATCGGAAAATTGATTTCAGGAAAATGATATTCAGGAAGAACCAGTCTATCAATCTTCTCATTTAACAAAATTTACTACATGGCAGTTAAATGAGAGAATCTGACGATCACACATCTGAATCAAATTTTTTATGACGTGATGACTGTCGTGATGTTGATCCACATAATGTGGAAATATAAATGATTTTATCCGTTATTTCTGTAAAAACTCCTAATTATTATACTAATCTACTCTGATCAGCAAATTATAATTCCTTTTTTCATTTAAACATTTAAACATTATATTATTATAATAAAAATTAACAAAAAAAACAAAAAAAATTCTGCTTGTTATTTAACTACACTAGTGATCTAGATAAACGAAAAAAGATTCAAACACGTGCCATAATGATGATGCGATAATAATTTTTGTAATCGATGGGACTAAACTGATATATAAGTGAACCACTCCTCCAGTGCGACAATGAATATGTCAATTTGACTTATTTTTTATGCATCCATACTATTATTAATTTTGAATTATTAAATGAATTATAAATATTTTATTATATTTAGTTAATTGACTGGTGACATTGGTCATAATACATATGATTATACGAGAATAATAAAAATATTTCGTAAATGGTGATTATTCGAATTAGTTGATCATATTATTGAATGTGTTATCTGATCACGAAAATAATTCCATCGTAATTATTATGTAATAATTATTTTTATATGATTTAATCTGTAGAGTAGCTGAATACTATAATCACATATACGATCACAGTTGAAGAGATGGGATCTTGGTTATTCTCATACAAAAAAAATGGCTAACGGGTAAACAGATTGGAACACTATGTCAAGCACATACTGTAGGTGTCCAGGTTTGATGGTTTTGTTCAGCTTGGCTGCTATAATTTACATCCTAACCATTATCGATTTCATCAGCTTTGCGTTTATGCGTCAAGGCTGATTCCATCTGCACGGATGTCTGGGAAAATCTCCATAAAAAAAATCATAGTTAACACAAGCCTAATAAAAGGTTTTATATTGTGAGAAATAAATGAAAACATATAGTTTAGAATCTAAATAGTTTAATTTTTATTATTATATTAATGTCAATTACAAATACATTTGTTATTACTTAATTATTATTTATTGATTAATAAAATTTCATTAAAGGTAGAATTAAATCGAAAGAAAATAGTTAATAGAAAGTTTTGAAAGCTAAAAGTAAGAGCGAAAACTATAGTAAAATAGATAATAGTCACACAGGGTAAGATTACATTAATTATTATTATTAGATTAATAAAATTTCATTAAAGGTAAAAGTAAATCGAAAGAAAATAGTTGATAGAAAATTTTGAAAGCTAAAAGTAGAGCGAAAACTATGTAAAATAGATAATAATCACACAGGGTAAGATTACAATATAATAGAACTTAAGGTTCTGATGATCAGAATCCGTTAAAAATTAATGGTTGAAAAAAAGAAATCGTGTAACATTTTGCTAAAGTTGGTTTAGCATTCGAATACATCCCAAGAATCTATAGTACCATGAAAGTGCCAACATTTATCCCATCATTATTGAATGGGCCACGCCATTTATCTTCTTCAGTAGACGCACCAACTCTAAAAGCAAGCCAATATGATTGCACGTTATCAGGAACTAGTTATAACCAACATGAGCCCATTCGCCCTGTATGTCAATTGCACCAGAATCACCATGCCAATCAAAGTTCCCTTTTTTATTTTCTAAGACGGTTGCTGTATTAGTCCATGTACCAGCAGTTACCTTGTTATGTATCCATACGGTATGGTCCGCATACACTTATTTCAATAGAAAGTTATTAGAACAGATGATTATTAGTTATTTTGTCATGATTATTAAAAATTACCTTCAGTGAACGGCGTTAAGACTTGGATAAAAATGATTGCAACGATTATGGTAAAAGAAAAGGAAGATTTCATGGCGAATAAACTTTTTTTTTTTCAGTAGAGCTAGTGAGGAATTTTCCGGAGCCTTTTATTAGACACTTGGCTGATCTCAGTCATGTGAACAAAAATTAGCAATAAATGTTCTCTCCATTCTACTTTCTGTTTTATCCCTTAATATAATACGGAGAATGATGCAAATCTGAATGATCATGTTAGATGATTGAATAAATGACAATGGCAGATTGATTTATTATAAACAACTATAAGTAAAATCATTAGCTGAGGTACTTAGAAAATGTAGGTGATAATGATAATAACAAAAGTTATAATGAAAATATCTAAATAAAAAAGGACCGCATGTTTCCAAAAGTCTCTGATACCTTCTTTCTAATTCATGGTTGGCCTTTGGTCGGCCTTTATTATGGGTTTAATATACGTCGTAAACTAGAGCTGTGACCCGCCAGAATTCAGTAAATCAATATTCGAGTATTCCTGGTAATCCTTAGGATGCTAATAATCCTTATTGATTTGCGATCGGATCATACCTAAATAAAAAAGGCTTAGCGGGTATTACTCGTTTTATACTTTACCATATATGACCCGAGTAATATCCTGGTATGCTCTGGTAAATAATTTTATAAAATTTAAAAGTTTAACGCATTTTTATTGTTAAATTTGAAAACAATACATTTTTGTAATTTTATGGTTACTGTAAATTTAATAAAAAAATAAAATTGTTCTTTACTTCACTACCACTATTTTAATAAAATATCATTTACTTATTTCAACTTTTTTCCGTTAGTAGCCTTAATTAAAATTAAAATACATTAATAAAATGAGTATGTTTATTTTGGAAAGTAAGATTCAGATTACTGCAAGTTTATTCTCACCATATGGAGGGCGAATATTAATCAACTGCTGTTCCGCCTTAAAAAGAGTTTTTTTTTTAATATATTTGCTCATTTTCTATTTCGGATCATCTATAGAGACTGCCGATAAAAGATTTTCCAGTTAACTGTTGATGAATTTTTCCAGGACCTGAGCAATATAGATAACAAGAAAGGTCAAAAAATTTATAATAGCTCTACGCAAGGTTTTTATTAATCAAACTCAACATGTGAATTCGGGTCTGGTACAAAATCCCGAATGTCAAAATCCCGAAAATCCCGAACCGGGCAGCATTATGCTTAATGTTGGCCAATATTTCGGGATTTCGTACCATTCGGGATTTTGACATTCGGGATTTTGTACGGATCCCGTGAATTCACTAATTGCCTAAAAATAAGCAATCAAATCATATGCCCTTATAAAATTTTTTAGTACGAAAAATCACAATAATAAAATACGTTGATAATTTCTAATTATTGTCATTTTATTTTCATTTTATCAATTAGCGATACATTTCATCATTTTTCAATAATGTCATCACAACCAAAATATTCATCACATTCCCTATTAGCTTAGTATACTACCATCAATTAAAACATTGTTTCTGAGATATGATGTCACTAATAGAAATGTTATTAAGAATTTTCATAATTAAATATTGCCCAATTTATCCACAAAATAAAAAAAATAAGCAATCATAACATATGACTTATTGAAAATCCTGCCAAAATTAAGCAAATAAAGAATATGACGTTAGCAATAAATATCGTTAATTTTAAGTAAATATAACCTGTCAAAACGGCATGTGGCTAAGCAAATAATATTGTTCCCTATGGTATCAGGGCATTTCACTGAAGGCTGTTTCGCCGAAACCCATTTTGCCAAAGCCATTCGCCGAAGAATGTTTCGCCGAAGGGACGTTTTGCCGAAGAGACGTTTTGCCGAAGAGACGTTTCGCCGAAGCTATTTCGCTGAATAGGTTATTTTGCCGAATGGACATTTGCCGAAACATTATTTATTACATTTGTTTATTTTATTGTTTTTTTACACCTATGATTAAGCCACTTTTCATCATCAATTAGCTAATCTTCAAATAAATGTACAGATCCCAAATAAACTACAGTATATACAGAGGGCGGCCACTGGGCGGCCAATGTTATACGGACAGTTAAAGATATTTCAGTATCTAGTGATTAAAATTTTATGAATTTATATTCATTATATTGATCTCATTGAGAGGATTCGAATGATAATAAAATCGTCTTTGCATGATCAATATTCAGTGTACAATTACGCTTTAAAAGATTTAGACGTTTACTATGATATTTTTTGATGCGATAATTGGATTTTCATGATCTTTATCTCATTGTATTCACCTCATCGAGACGATCCAAATGATGTAAATATATATCGATTGGGTCAATATTGACCGAATTACAATATTTTTATTTTTTTGAATTTTTAACTAATTATTATACTAGTTGTACAAATTAAAAAAATTCTGAAAAGTATGAAGTGTAAGAGTTTGTTTATTATAACTGTAAGTATAAATTTATATTACATTAACAAGAGGTCATTTTCATGGGGTAGGTGAAAGTTATTGTAAAAAAAAATGACCAATTTATAAATATGCAAATTGTTGATCTCCCTTTTATAAATAAGCTTCGTTAAAATAAATAAATTAATAAAATGAATAAACAAATGATGTTTTCTATTTATAATGAGTAAATTAAGTATAGAGAAATGACAGATTTCGGTTTATTATAAGTTAAAATAGTAAAATAGTAAAAATTTAAGGGAATTACTAAACGTCGCCTAGGTGATTGTTGCCTGGGGTTTTTTTTTCAAATATGTCACATGATGTACAATATACAGTTCACCCTCGCTATAGTGAAGCTCATGGGCTGAAGGTTAAGATTCACTATAGTAAGGGATTCACTATAGCGAAGGTGAACTGTATTAAGAATTATTATTTATATAGAAAATCCGTACCTGAGCTTTTCTTTACTATAGCAAATTATTCACTATATAAAAATTCACTATAGCGAGGGAGAACTGTATAGAGTAAATTTATTGATCGGTTGACAGCTGGTTTTTTTAACTTAGCTAAATTTTTGATTGGCTAAACTTAAAATTTTATCGCAAAAGATATTTTTAAAAAAAAAAAATTTTTGCAAACATATTTATTCAAAATAATCTTATCCAATGAAATTTTATTTGCAAATATTAAAATTTATTATATAGTTTAATAGTAAATAGTATATTAGCCCTATAAAAAAAATTCTGGAAAAAACTCCGGTAAATGATCATTTTTCTAATTTTTATTCCGAAGAAACTCAGACACGTGATCATTTTTCCGAAAAATTTTTTATAGGGTAGCGTAACCTATTGTAGAATTGGCGGACTCACAAAGTATAATTATTATATTACTAGTATACTTTATTAAATGAAAAATTTATTATGAAAGGTGAGTTTAAATAATAAATTTATTAAAATATAAAGAAATAAATGCCAAAAATAGATTCAATTACAACTTTCATATCAAATAATGAAACACGAATTTTTATTTTAATTTTCTTATTTATTTAAAAGAATATCTATGTGTTCTTTGGCTTTTTGACATCCATTTTCTATTGCCTTCTTATAACAATAGATTGCATTATCTAAATTTTTTTCTACTCCTTCGCCTTGTTCATATAAAAATGCAAGACTTCTTTGCGCATCAACATTTCCTCCTATTGCAGCTATTTTATATAATTCAAATGCCCTTACTTTATCTATATCAGCTCCAAATCCTTTCTCATAGCAATATCCTAATTTATATTGAGCATCAACAAATCCTTGGTTAGCAGACTTTTTATAGAACTCAAATGTTCTAATACTACATTTCCATACGCCTTTGCCCAATTCATAACATTCACCTAATTTATATAATGCAAATTTATTATCATCTTCTGCAGCCTCATGATACCAATGAAAAATTTGATTTAAGTCGTTTAATGTTTCTATATCATTTTTACCAAAATAATTTTGTACATAATTATCTTCAGTTGCCTTGCTATATGTTTCAAATCCTTTTTCTTTGTTAACTGCAGTTCCAATACCTTTTACGTAACAATATCCAAGTTGAAAAATTGCACTTATATATCCAGCATTAGCTGATTTTTTGTAAAATTTAAATGCTTTCACAAAATTTTGTTTAACACCTATTCCAAGTTCATAAAAACTACCTAAATTATATTGTGCTACTTCATTTCCATTTTCTGCTGCTTTATTACACCAGTAAATAGCTTTCTCTAGATTCTTTTCTATTATCTCACCATTTAGATACAAAATTACGAGAACATTTTGTGCAGAAATATGTCCTTTTTCAGCAGCTGTTTTATATAATTCAAATGCTTTCGTTTCATTAATTTCAGTTCCAACTCCAACATTATAATAATATCCAAGTAATAATTGAGCATTTAAATGGCCTTGATCTGCAGCTAATTTACATAATTCGAATGCTTTTGTTTTATTAACTTCAGTTCCAATTCCAAAATTATAACAATATCCAAGTTGATAATTAGCATCTAGATGGCCCCTATCAGCAGCTATTTTATATAGTTCGAATGCTTTTATTTTATTAACTTCGGTTCCGATTCCAAAATTATAACAATTTCCAAGTCGATAATGAGCATCTAGATGGTCTTTTTCAGCAGCTATTTTATATAATTTATATGCTTTTGTTTTATTAATTTTAGTTCCAACTCCAACATTATAATAATATCCAAGTAATAATTGAGCATTTAAATGGCCTTGATCTGCAGCTATTTTACATAATTCGAATGCTTTTGTTTTATTAACTTCGGTTCCAATTCCAAAATTGTAAAAATATGCAAGTCGATAATGAGCATCTAAATGGCCTTGATTTGCAACTATTTTATATGATTCAAATGCTTTTGTTTTATCAACTTCAGTTCCAATTCCAAAATCATAACAATTTCCAAGTTGATAGTGAGCATTTTGTTGGCCTTCATTTGCAGCAATTTTATATAATACAAATGCTTTTATTTTATCAAATTCAGTTCCAATTTCAAAATTATAACAATATTTAAGTCGGTTATAAGCATCTAAATGACCGTTTTCAGCAGCTATTTTATATAGTCCAAATGCTTTTGTTTTATTAATTTCAGTTCCAATTCCAAAATCATAACAATTTCCAAGCCGGTAATGAGCATTTAAATGCCCTTTTTCAACAACTATTTTATATAATTCATATGCTTTTGTTCCATTAATTTCAGTTCCAATTCCAAAATCATAACAAGATCCAAGCAAATATTGTGCATCTAAGTGGCCTTTATTTGCAGCTATTTTATATAATTTGAATGCTTTTGCTTCATCAGCTTCAGTTCCAATTCCATAATTGTAACAATATCCAAGTTGGTATTGAGCATCTAAATGGTCTTTTTTAGCAGCTATTTTATATAATTTAAATGCTTTTGTTTTATTAATTTCAGTTCCAATTCCAAAATTATAACAATATCCAAGTTGATAATAAGCATCTAAATGGCCTTTCTCAGCAGCCAATTTGTATAATTCAATTGCTTTTACTCCATTAAGTTCAGTTCCAATTCCAAAATCATAACAAGATCCAAGTCGGTATTGAGCATTTAAATGGCCTTTATCTGCAGCCATTTTATATAATTCAAATGCCTTTGTTTCATCAATTTCAGTTCCAATTCCAAAATTGTAGCAATATCCAAGTTGATATTGAGCATCCAAATGGTCTTTTTCAGCAGCTATTTTATATAATTCAAATGCTTTTATTTTGTTAACCTCTGTTCCAATTCCAAAATCATAACAATATCCAAGTTGATATTGAGCATCTAAGTGATCTTTTCTTGCAGCAATTTTATATAATTCATATGCTTTTGTTTTATCAACTTCAGTTCCGATTCCAAGATTGTAGCAATGTCCAAGTTGATATTGAGCATTTAAATGATATTCTTTTGCAGCTATTTTATATAATTCAAATGCTTTTGTTTTATCAACTTCAATTCCAATTCCATAATTGTAGCAATATCCAAGTTGATATTGTGCATCTAAGTGGCCTTTATCTGCAGCTGTTTTATATAAATTTAATGCTTTTATTTCATCAATTTCAGTTCCAATTCCATAATTGTAACAATACCCAAGTTGATATTGAGCATCCAAATTGTCTTTTTTAGCAGCTATTTTATATAATTCAAATGCTTTTGTTTCATCAACTTCAATTCCAATTCCAAAATTATAACAATATTTAAGTCGATTATAAGCATCTAAATGGCCTTTTTCAGCAGCTATTTCATATAGTTCAAATGCTTTTGTTTTATTAATTTCAGTTCCAATCCCAAAATCATAACAATTTCCAAGTCGATAATAAGCATCTAAATGGTCTTTTTTAGCAACTATTTTATATAATTCAATTGCTTTTGTCCCATTAAGTTCAGTTCCAATTCCAAACTCATAACAATTTCCAAGTCGATAATGAGCATCTAAATGGTCTTTATCTGCAGCTATTTTATATAATTCATAAGCTTTTGTTTCATCAACTTCAGTTCCGATTCCAAAATTATAACAATATCCAAGTTGATATTGAGCATCTAAATGATCTTTTTCAGCAGCTGCTTTATATAATTCAAATGCTTTTATTTTGTTAACCTCAGTTCCAATTCCAAAATCGTAACAATATCCAAGTTGATATTGTGCATTTAAGTGATCTTTTTTCGCAGCAATTTTATATAATTCATATGCTTTTGTTTTATCAATTTCAGTTCCAATTCCATAATTGTAGCAATATCCAAGTTGATATTGCGCATTTGAATGATCTTTTTTTGCAGCAATTTTATATAATTCATATGCTTTTGTTTTATCAATTTCAGTTCCAATTCCATAATTGTAACAATATCCAAGTTGATATTGTGCATCTAAATGGCCTTTTTCTGTAGCTATTTTGTATGATTTAAATGCTTTTGTTTTATTAATTTCAGTTCCAATTCCAAAATTATAACAATTTCCAAGTTGATATTGTGCATCTAAATGGCCTTTTTTTGCAGCAATTTTATATAATTCAAATGCTTTTGTTTTATCAACCTCAGTTCCAATTCCAAAATCGTAACAATATCCAAGTTGGTATTGAGCATCTAAATGATTTTTTTCAGCAGCTATTTTATATAATTCAAATGCTTTTGGTTCATCAGTTTCAGTTCCAATTCCAAAATTATAACAATATCCAAGTTGATATTGAGCATCTAAATGATCCTTTCTTGCAGCAATTTTATACAATTCATATGCTTTTGTTTCATCAGATTCAGTACCAATTCCAAAATTGTAGCAATATCCAAGTTGATATTGAGCATTTAAATGGTCTTTTTCAGCTGCTATTCTATATAATTCAAATGATTTTGTTTTATCAACTTCAGTTCCAATTCCAAAATTGTAACAATATCCAAGTTGATATTGAGCATCTAAGTGGTCTTTTTCTGCAGCTATCTTATATAATTTATATGCTTTTGTCTCATTAATTTTAGTTCCAATTCCATAATTGTAACAATATCCAAGTTGATATTGAGCATCTAAATGATCTTTTTTTGCAGCAATTTTATATAATTCATATGCTTTTGTTTTATCAACTTCAGTTCCAATTCCATAATTGTAACAATATCCAAGTTGATATTGGGCATTTAAATAACCTTTTTCAGCAACTATTTTATATAACTCAAATGCTTTTGCTTCATCAACCTCAGTTCCAATTCCAAAATTATAACAGTATCCAAGTTGATATTGACCGTCTAATTGGTCTTTATCTGCAGCTATTTTATATAATTCAAATGCCTTTGTTTTATTAATTTCAGTTCCAACTCCAAAATCATAACAATATCCAAGTTGATATTGAGCATCTAAATGGCCTTTTTTTGCAGCTATTTTATATAGTTCAATTGCTTTTGTTATATCAACTTCAGTTCCAATTCCAAAATTATAACAATATCCAAGTTGATATTGAGCATCTAAATGATCTTTTTCAGCAGCTATTTTATATAATTCAAAAGCTTTTTCTTCATCAACTTCAGTTCCAATTCCAAAATTGTAGCAATATCCAAGTTGATATTGACCATCTAAATGATCTTTTCGTGCAACAATTTTATATAATTCAAATGCTTTTGTTTTATCAACTTCAGTTCCAATTCCAAAATTATAACAATATCCAAGTTGATATTGAGCATCTAAATGATCCTTTCTTGCAGCAATTTTATAAAATTCAAATGCTTTTGTTTCATTAGCTTCAGTTCCAATTCCGAAATTATAACAATATCCAAGTTTATATTGTGCATCTAAAAATCCTTGCTCAGCCGATTTTTGATATAATATAAAAGCTTTTCTATTATTTTTTTTCACACCTTTACCATCTTCATAACAACTACCGAGATCATATTGTGCAATTTTATAACCACTTTCTGCTGCCTTTTGGAAATAATAAAATGCTTTTTTATAATTTTGCTTTGTTCCAGTACCATTGTAATTATTAACTCCAATTCGTCTTAATCCCTCAAAATATATTGTTTTATGAATTTTAATTTCTATATTTTTGTTTTTTTTGACACTAGTTCTCTTATAATTTTGTTCAAGAATGCACTTTGCAATAATACTTCCATTATTTGCTGCCTTTTCATACCAATTGAAAGCTTGATCTTTATCAATTTCTGTTCCAACTCCATAATAATAACAATTTCCAAGCTGATATTGAGCATCTGTGATTTCATTTTCCGCTAATATTTGATAATATTTAAATGCTTTAGATTCATTTTTTTCTATTCCTTTTCCTAATCTGTAACAATTTACAAGATAAAGTTTTGCAGTTGTATTTCCATTATTGGTCGCTTTTTTATACCATTCAATATATCCATTATCATTAGTATTTTTAATTCCAATATTAAATTCATAGCAATATCCTAAATAAAATTGTCCAACAATACTTTTATTTTCTACAGCCCTTTGATACCATTTAAATGATAAATTTTTATTCTCTTCAGTTCCATATCCATCATTATAACATTTGGCAAGATAAATTTGTGCTATTGAGTAGTTATTTTCTGCTGCTTCTGAAAATAACTCAAATGCTTTATTGTCATCTTCTTCTACTCCAATACCATAATAATAAAATAATCCAAAAAGCCAAATATAATCTGCTTTATCTTGATTATTTATAAGCCAATTAATAAGATCATTTATTATAATTTGATTAGATTGTAATGTTATTTGATCAATTAATTGTTGAATTTGATCAAAAGTATAACCCTTATCATGCTTTTTAATAATAAATGTAATTAATTTATCAACGAATGAATCGTTAACAATATCAAATCTTGAATCAGATGAATCCTTTGATAAATTCGTCTGAATTGATGTGCTAGATTGATTGCTATTAAGATTCATTATCTGCGCTGATTGAATAGATGCCTGATCTTGTAAACTGCCAATATCATTTAGTATTTTATCTGAAAAATAATTTATATCCAAATCATCATTCATATCTGAATTATCACTTATATTTGAATCGTCGTTCATATCTTGATCATCATTCTTATTTGAATCATCTTTTACATTTGAATCACTATTTATATCTAAAGTTCCTTGTAGTTGATTATGACTTTTATTTTTAAGACATTGATCAGGAAAAATGATTGATTTAAGAACTAAAACAACTTCTTGCATAATAGGACGCTCGTCTGGTTCATATTTCCAGCATTCTAATTTTTAAAATAAGTTAATAACATAAATAATTTCTCTTTTCAAATAAATGAATTAATATTATGAATATTTTGTTACCTGTATATAAATTACTATATTCAATGGAAGTATTATCAATAATTTCTTCTCGTTTATCATTTACTATAGATAAGGATAAACTCACGTCATACTTATGATCAGAAAATGGTTGTTTTCCGCTTGAAATTTGCCACAATAAAACTCCAATACTATATACATCAGATTTTTTGTTCAATTCATAACCTTGATCATTCAACTTTTTTGGGTCAATAAAAGGTATTACACCGAATATTTTTGATGCATTACTTGACGCCTTAGCAATTTTCCTTGATAATCCAAAGTCTGCTAACTTTATCTTTTTTTGATGTATAAGTACATTATCAGCATGCTATATCACGAAAAAAAAAAAAAAAAATTCAGCGCATTTCATAAAAATTCAGATATGATTAAAAAAGTAGATTATTACCAAATCACGATGAATAATATCACGCTCATGTAAAAAAGCTACTGCACTTGCTAGCTGAAGTGATAATTGATATTTGTCGTTCCAATCGAGTTCATTAAAATGCAAATTTAAGTAAATATTTAGTGTACCGCTATCTGCATATTCCAAAACTAATGAATATTTTTTTTCTGAATGCAACATAAAGAAAAATATAATTAAATAAATATCATACTTGAAATACATAATATATGTTAATATTAATATTACTTTACCAGTTTCTATCTTTGTGATACCATAAAATCGTAAAATATTTTCATTAGCAATCGATTCTTTATGTAATTTTATCTAAAAAAGAATTTTATAAATTAACATTTAATAAAATTAAATTTAATATATTATACTATTATAAATTACATACCTCATTAACAATTTCTTTAAGCGTTATTTTATCATTATTGAAAGTTTTTAATGCGAAAATTCCATCGGTATTTTTCCAATTAGCACGAAAGACTCTTCCATATGAACCACTTCCTAACGGGTTTAAATTTTTAAATTCTAAATAATTGTAATAGTTGATGTATTCATCGTTAATTGATTTTTCTAACCAATCAATATAAATATTTGATTCTTTAAGGTCAGTTTTTTTCGCTTCTTTCGACATTCTTACATTCGTGATAATAATTTTCATTAGTTTTTTTCTTTTAAGCACAAATAAAATGAATGTGTGATCGTCTTGTACTACTCTAGAATATTCCATGTCAACAAATACAAATGTGGGTACGTTACTCATTTATATAAGTCACGTGACTTACATAGCGCTGTTTGTTTGTTGTTTACTAGTTACCGTTACAACAAAATTAATACTCTTTTCTTTTTTTCTTTTTTCCATTTTAAAAATATCCTTAAGATCATCAGGAAATTTTTTTAGGTGTAACCATGCGACGGGCGTAAATTTGTGTAAATATGCGGAAGCTTGTGTAAGTTTTTGTAAATTTCTTATGAAAATTTATGTGAACTTGTATGAACTTTACACCCCATCACGAATTCTTACATCTAAGATAATTTTCGGAAGACATTTATCAAATGATAAAGAAATTAAATATCCTTAAAGAACTTATAAAATCTATAAAAAACGCGTTTATTGTAGACCAAAATAATTTACAGTTCAATAACAATATCTATATTATCGTACGGCTAATGCAGATTATGCTCAAACAAACTATCAATATTCGATATTGTACGCAAATAAACTATCGATATTCAATATTGTACGCAAATAAACTATAATGAAAATATCGGTCAAATAAAATCAGCATTATCCCCATAATGGTGTAGTTATCCGAAAAATTCAGCCGAAGGCGCAGTAAATTTTCGGCTAACAACACCCAGCCGAAAAAAATTCATGTTGATCTTGAATATTTTTTGAATATTTTATTGGTTCAACATCTACTATTTTCGGCTAGATATTTACGGCTAACTACATTATTATTTTAAAGAAGTGTAGTTAGCCGTAAATATCAAATGTAACACAATAGTTTAAGTGGTAACAAGTAATGAAAATTGATTGTTCATATTACAATATTTACCATTATTATTTAATGGTAAATATTATGTAATATTGTTTGGTGTAAAATTGTTTCTTAAAATGTTTAATTTTAATATTTGCTTGTAAATAATTTTTTAAATTCTTTGGTTTTCTTTTTAAAAAATTAAATACCAGTTTTTATTTTTTTTGATCGATTTGAATTAGTTCTAACAATTCTAATGATCTGCATGGTTAATTATAGGTATGGGAAATTATATTATAGACGCGGAAAATTATATTATAGACGCAGTAAATTATATTATAAACATGGAAAATATTCAATAAAATGGATTTAAATATAATCAAAGATAATTTTTTTTTTAATAAACTTTTTTTCTTTGTTATCAAATTTGCTAAATTTACTGAAATTCTTCACTTAATTATGGATTCTATTTCCACTAAACAACTTTTAACTAAAACTAGAAAAAAATTACCAAGTTTAAGTGAGATAATGTCTTATGGACAAAAACATAAAAAAATTCAGTGATCTTTCATATGTAGATGTTTATATATCTGAGGATATAGTTATAGATGAAGGTGCATGTTTATTATTACCAGATGAATTTAATGGTTATATACAACTGCGCTTCTGATATTTCGGCTAACTACACTATTATTTAAAAAAAGTGTAGTTAGACGAAAATATTCAGCCGAAAATAGTAGATGTTGAACCAATAAAATATTCAATAAAATATTCTAGATCAACATGAATTTTTTTCGGCTGGGTGTTGTTAGCCGAAAATTTACTGCGTCTTCGGCTGAATTTTTCGGCTAACTACACCATTATATGATCCCCTAGCGATAATATTAATTTTAACACTTCAGTTTAATGAAACAATGCTTTGGTGACTAATAAGAGTCATTTAACAAGTATGAAACACATGTTAATTTTTATTAATATTGTTATTTTTTATTTTTTATTTTTTAATGAATTTCACTTATCATGATACATTATTTTTTAATTTCCGAGTGGAACCACTCAAACATTAATCTTTATTAAAAAACTTTAATTTTCATAACAATATGATACTTTTATATACTGTAAATTACTATTGTTTTCACCTTTTAATATTGGAGAATGTTGTTGATGTACAGACTACAGATCACATGACTGATATGAAATAATTTTTTTTTTTTTTTTTTTGTGGTAAACCAATACTTTATTATTTATTATTATTTATAATTAGGTTCACTCTGTACGGATTCTTGCCCGTCCGCACGCGTTTAAATACCAATCATTTTCTAGTATATCGTGTGACAATAAATATGTTGTTTACTTTTATTTTAGCCATCCTATTAATGATGATCATGCGATTCATGTGATTATAATGCCTAAAATACAGGGGGGTTTGAACAAAATTTACATTCTCCTATATCCAATTAAGCTGTAGCATTCTTCATGTACCAACTAGTATCATGTTATTAACTGCGTTATCTGTTTTTATTTTTTTTTTATTTTTTTTTATTTTTTTTCAACTTTCATTATTATTTTTTGTTTACTAGAAGCATTCGTCCCCTCGATCACTTAATCATCTCTAAATTTCCATTTATCTTAAGTTAGTGATCGGGAAAAATTAAAACTGTTATAACTTTACGTGCTTGAATATATACACTTACAAAGAATATTTCTATTTTCATACATTCCAAAGTCCGAACTAAATGAAGGAATTTTTAAAAAAATTTTCGTATTTCACGTATTTCACATAGAACAAGCTTAGGCCGGGCAAAAAAATTTTTTAGATTCTCGTGACATAAAATTTTAAAAATGACCCGGCCGGCCGGCATTTTTTTTTATATATGTAAAATTTTTTCATATGTATAATTTTTTTACGCACATTGGCCAAAAACTTAAAATCACGTGATAAAATTTTTTACTATAAAAAAAAAATTTACATTTTTCGAAAAACTGACCCGGCCGGGATACTGTACTTTAATGATGTAAATTCTAATAATCAGTGATATGGGAGCGTTGGCAATTTTAAAAGCTATTAACGATCTTTTTAGATTATTATACTTCCATTAACAACTTTTCGATTAAATTCGATATCTTTGTCGAAATAAATACATTTTCCAGATAAATTTCTTCCAAATCATTTTTACGGAGTTTTACAGAAATAACGGATAAAATTTTTTATAGGGCTACTATATCATTAGCATTACATCCATGCCGCTTGCCGCAGGTGCCGGGACCAATGAGTTTGTTTAAATAGAAAATTTTGTATTATAATGTAATACTAAGTAAATTAAAGATGGTTACAGTAGTTTTTTGTTTATAATTATAATTAGGAATTTAATATGGTAATAATTAGTTAACAAAAAATAATAAATAATATGTACTAAATTATATTTAATATTAGAATGATGATATAAATTATATTTATAATAATGTAGCTATTTACATTAATGATTTGACGGATTAATTAAGGAAAATAATTATCAATAAAAATTGATTAATTTTTAAAAGTATTTTCGAAAAACTTTAATATTACAAATATATTTATTAAATTTTATAATTATTTCTTATTATTTTATATTACGTTAATCTTAAACTTATAAGTTATAACCAACTTAGGAAAACATTTTGAACAATTAAATGTATTAGAATCTGTTCATTTCATTTATTATTATTCTTTTGATACTCATTTTACTCGATAAATTAACTAAATCATTTTGAATTAAATCTTTATTCAAAAATTTGGTGATTATTAGAGAACTTCGGATATGGATTTAGTTATAATAATCTATTATTGAATTAACAATTTCTTCAATTAATTAATTATAAAATTGTAAAAATATCAATTTTTTTTGATTTTTATGAATTTGAAAATCAAACTATTTATCCAACGTTTAATTTAATTGAAAAAATCTTAATCATCTTTCTATCAACGTCGGTCAATTTTCCTACATGTTATATTAATTTTTTTTTAAAAAAAAAATAATTTTGTAAATATTTTTAATTATAATATTTTATTTCTTTATTTAATAGTAATAAAAAATTGAAAGAAAAAGAAAAAAAAATTAAAAAAAAATTTGGGGGAAAGAAAAAAGGATAAAGAAAGAAATCGGTTTAAAAAAGGGAAATTTACAAAAAAAAAGGAATCCGAAAAAAAAATAAGTATCGAAAAAAAAGAACAATAATTTGGTCCAAAAAGAAAAAAATAACAATATGGTCTAAAAAAAAAAAA